TAAATGCGCAATATGTCAGGCGATGCCAGACTAAGGCAAGTCCAATTGAGCGGATAAAATGGTGGTTGGTCCGCGCTGTAGCATTAATCTATTTTTCAGTCTCTTGTACAGAGTCACCGTACAAAAGTCAAGTGACGCAGCTTGGTGTGGGACACGGAGTTCCTCAAAAAGGAAATTTACCCTCAATAGGGGTTCTTGTATGGATAAACGACTGTACACGATGCATGACATGCATATTACAGTATTGACTTTTGAATCCTACTTGTTAGCAATTTCGTTTTTTGTCAGTCCACAGCAACGAATAAAGACGGAAATTCAATTCTCCACTTTATTAGGACCAGTATAATATGTGCGATTGTCGACACGGTCATAAGTTTGTGATAACGAAACTTAAAATAATGCTCATGTAGACGGCCCGGAAGACGGTTGGTCGTGGATGATGCGTTGCTCTAAGCTCCGCTGTGTAATGTACGTAGAACCATCGCTATCAACTTCGCACCCACCTTCCCGTATTCTGTGTCCCAAGTTGCACTGTGCCGCTGCGATACAGCCACGGAGCGCGTATTTCCAAACTTCTCGGTCTATGGTAGCGACTTAGTTTGTCAGGTGGCGCCTAACGCTCCGCAGTATACTGAAGGTGGCAGTTACCTTAAGAATAAGCGTATGGTGAGATAAAGGTGCATTGCGTTGAGTCTTTAGCAGCCGTCGTGAGTTGTAGGGGAAGTAGATTTACGGACCCTTTTTGGCTTTTGTGGACAGGGTGTCATCATGCCGTCGTGGTTGAAAGCTACGACGTCGGGTTACAGCTACCAAAACAATACCGTAAGATGATATGTATGTAGCTTCTGGAAAAGTGTAAATATATTGTTGCTGACTGGCATATGTCACGTCCGCAGTTTTTTTACTGAGTCCGTCGGAGGTTGGATTGGTACTGGAGCTGGAGCTGCTGGACTCGCGAATTACAGAGCTGTCACTTACGCACTCGCCTAACATGAACGCGCCCGAGGACGAAAAAAATTAAGTCACTGCACATTGCGCGTGTGGCGAGTGTTAAAGGTGCTTCTGTGATCCATATTTAGGTTAAGCAGAAAATCGAATCTCTTTTTGCCACGTTGAACGTCGGCGAAGCACGTGTCTTCCAGGTAAATTAGACGCAGTGCGTGATATTGTTGTTTCGGCGTATGATCTGAGATTATGATGGACGGTTCTGTCCTGGCAGGAGTTGCTAACTTACTCGCTTTCCCGCTTGTTTGGCTTCCACACGGTGCTGGAAGGGCCTCTGTAGGGCATTTTATTAATCAGCCTCGGTCTTTTGCGGGGCGCCGGAATACAATTTAATGCGTCAACGGCGCGGACGGACCAGACCAATAGCGCTTACACTTAATTCCACTCTGTGCAACTAGCTAGCAGGTATAAGGTGTTTGATACGGAGTAATTATTGATCTAATGATGTTCGTAGTGTGCGCAGTTAGGATCAACAACGCGCCCGTCGGCTTGAAGCTGTTTGTATTGTTGAATGTATTTCTTTACATGAACAGCTCTGTTCAGCTTACGCATGGAATCGAGGACGTGTTGTACTCTGCGGGCTTTGATGTTGTGTTTGCCAAGAAACAAAATTAAACCCATATCGGCTATATCGCCAATCTCCAACAAATCTTCACGATGCTACGGAGATTTCTCGTCAATCACAAATCCATCAGCAATATAAGACTCATATACTCAGCCACCAGTTTGCCGGTAAATCTTGTGTACTTGTGTGCTGGATCTATCAGACGAATCCCACTTTCGTTGTTCCTGGGGGAAAAACCATGATAATGGTACGTTCTTTAGATTTTTTGTTGTACTCTTTTGAGTGGTTTTGCTGGTAATTTATCGCTTGTATCTTCAATTATCTCGTGTATAATATAGGCTGTGACTTGTTGTCGACTCAAGCTTGCATCATCATAATGCGAGGGTCGAGCTCGTGGTTACGCCGGATTAATTGCTCAATCATGGCGGCTTGATTACAAAAAATTAAGTGTTTTGTCACGTTGCTCGTGCTAGATTAAGCCTGGATGGGGTTTAGTTGCAGACTTGTTTTCGTGTAGCAGGCTAGATGCGATGACCAAGCTAGAAGCTCTTCCATTGAGTGACTTCATGGATGACGCACGCTTCCAGACGTGTGACTACAAGTTCGTCATCCTTGAAACGCTTCAATGATGGATAATGACGAAGCAGATTGGTGACAAGCGTTTCAATCACCCTTCTGATCACATCGTACAGTATAGTTGCTAGGTTTTAAGACGCGTCGAAAGGCGTTGCCGCAACAGCCTGTAACTTTGTCTGAGCATCGGAATTTAAAACATCGAGCAATACAAGAGAGACGACTGTGACAGGGTGTCGCCCACATAAGACCGAAGCAATCTTATGGTCTTTGGACGGTGTATCGAAGACGTACGCGAAGGCGTTTTTCGCCTATGTCATGTTCCACACCCCTCGGTCGAAGATCCATTGTATGCACAACCAACCCGCATTTGCATGCTGCACCCCTCCACGCCAAAAAGAGTGATATGTAGCGCTCAGATATGCCTGCTTTTACCGCTACCCGATAAGTAAAACGGTTGACGAATCTGGGCACACCAGCAGCGGTTTCTTGACTTATCTCTTTCGTTGCAGCGGCGAAAGAAGTATCCTGTTAAGAAAACACAACCTCTGGGTGACCAAGCAAATAGATAAGCGGAGTTACCGGAACCAACGTGGACTGCAAAACTGCCGACTGCTTGGACAGTTGGCTCAGCACTACATGTTAGGCAATGAGTGGGTCTCAAGGGCATGTGCAATGGCAAGCAGATGACACGTGGCAAAGTCTCCGTCAAGATAGATCGACAGACCTTGCTCTTCTGAAGTCTTGATCTGTATAAAACGGACGAATTATATGTAGCCCGGTCCAATAGGCTGGTCATCCTTGTGCAGCATTGTGAGTTCCGATGCACGCCCGAAGAATAATCATAGCAGACACAATAGCGCCGCATATTGGTAGTCTGCACCTGTAATTGCAGTAGAACACAACTACTCCACCATTTCTTAAGAGCCGACTTTGTGCACGCTATGGCCTTGTTCACAAGCGATCCTGACTCACGCTTTATGCAATAGCGTTCCACCAGCGTCTGTCCCTTCTTGAGCAGGTTCTTGTTGACCGCTGCTCGATGCTGTGGACACTGTTCCAACAACCAGTTCTTAGCCTGTCGAAAAGACTGCATTCCCCAGTGTCGAGGTATAGCTGTCCCTATCGGCGCTCCTTTAACGCGCGATACATGCCGAGCTTGTCCACCACAGCTTTTGTGACTAGAGGTGCCTTCTCGCGTTGCATGCGCTGTCGCAGTTAGTCCCAACTAAAGATGAGTCTGGCCAACCTCGCGCCTACCGACACGAAGCGTGCTCGTGAGAACGCAGCACTCTTCGTGCCGGTAGGCGCGAGGTTGGCCAGACTCATATTTCTTCGGAAATTCGAAGCCTGGGTGTTTTTTTGTGAAATATTTGAGCGACTCGTTTTTCTTCGGAGATGTAGAAGGTTGGGTGTTATTGGTGAAATAGGCGATTATCTTAGTGTTTGAACAGTGATAACAATTATAACACTGCTCCGTTCGACCCGATACGTCGGAGAGGTGGATGTCAGAGCTTCACTTGTCAATCTACTCCATGATTGGTCCTAAATATTGCATTAATTCGATTTGATTTGCTGATAAAGAATTCAATATCATCATGCTCACCCTATTGGTCAATAAATACAATGCGTAATCAAGTGCGGTCTGAAATTTTATGTTATTTATCCATTCCTGACGATTGTAGGCTGTCGTATTCTACGAAGAATACAATTTTCAAAGGTAACATTCTTGGAAATCATTCACTACGCAGGTAAACACTATTTAACGCAAAGGGATGGGAAAATTGCTCTCATCTGCGCCAAGTAGTACAAATATTGGAGAAAGCCGTACCAATGTGACAGTCGATATGCATAGAACGATCACGTACGAGTTAGAAGCAATTTCTTTGGGCAATCGAGTAGTTGAGGGTATGGAAAAAGCTAAGCAGCTTTCGAGTTTCGCTGCACATGCAATGCTTGTATGTGCAGCGAAACTCGAAAGCTGCTATATGAACACACTGACCAACAAGTCCTGTCATGATTATGCATAGCCGCACTGCCGTTTACTTGCAGAGCGTAACTGGGTTACACGACGTCTGGTAGTCGACGATAGGTGTGGTGCACACAAGAGAGGGGATACCCTATAAAGTAATTTTAGAACACAGTGAGTGTATCAATTGTTGAATACTGATGTCTGTCAATAATTGATTGCGAGATCTTTTAAGAGGTTATTTAGGGCAGGTTAAATACGTTGTTCTAAGGTGTTCTTTTAGGTTAATTAAAGAAATAAAAATCCAGTTTCCCTTTTGATCAACATAAGACACGTGCCTTGCGAGGCGTCTTGATCGGAAGAGCTAGCAACGCCTGTAAAGGTAGCTACTCTTGAGCACTCTGTGCTGTGATTCTCTTGAATCGTTTGGTCCCCCTGGAACAGGGACCGTAATCTCTCTGAGCTTGTTGACTCTCTGAGTCGGGTTCGTAGAATCAAAGTTACTCGTAAGAGCGTTAAGTCTTCCTCTGAATTAAGGAGCTGTGTAGCTCCGCTACACAGAGCCTCAAACGTGTTTCTGGGAATACTGACTTCCGCTTAGTCTCAGACCGGTAGTCATTGAGCCCTATACTTGGCTCACAACTAACTCCCTCTGATAATCATAGATTGATTCGTTTTGCTACATAGAGCGTTTGAGAAGTCTCGTTTCACTGTAACGGTTGATCGGCCGTCCAGTTCTCATGACGATAGTCACCGTTAAAGCAAATGACGCGCTGGTGAACATGGCATACTAGAGAAAGAGGGCTGTCGGTCTCATTGATTGGTCAGAAACCCAGCCAAAGCGTGTCCCTTTTTTATCTGATTGTGAGTCGCACTCGGGCAAAAGTCATGACGGCACAGCCAGCGCACACGGCCGAAGCGTGGGGACGCTTAACACTCGTGACCAAAGAGCCGGCGGACGACAGTGACCACATCTACTTGACACGTCCCGTCACGACAATTGGCCGCAACAAACGCCGCTGCGATCACGTGATTAACCAGCTTTTTATCAGCAGCGTGGTACGATAAGCGAGGATAAACTGTGCAAATACATGGAAAAGAGAGGCGATAGTCCCCGGACAGTCAATGATCGACGACATGGGCTTAACAAACTACTGACGATGTTTGTATTTTTTATTTGTCAATGTCGTTTTGTAATGTGAAAGCATTGCGTTGTGCAGCGAGACGGCATCGACGCTTCGGGCGAACCCATTGTCAAGCTTTGCGACAACAGGTTTGTGGAATCGTCGGTGGATTCGTCAAGCTGCATGCAGAATACTGATGGGCGATGGTGGCACTTGATGTGCAGCCGGAATGGTATTTGGGTCAATGCAGACCGCGTAGGCAAAGGAGGCTCAGTGCGACTGGGCAGGGGCTATACAGTGCATTTCACAAAGCCTGGCGCGACCCCAGCAGGTACGATAGCAAGGGTAGTTTTTACGCAGCTGGTTTCTTTCACGCGTGACATGGTAAATGTAGATTTGTTGTTTCCGTTTTGCAGGGGTTACTCCAATGGCGTTTAAGCTGGAATTCCTTACGTGAGTGCAACGAGTATTGTGGCTTCTTGTAACATCGAAAAGTGAAGGCCGCTGTTGACAAACTGGCGTGCGTGCTTGTTCTTTCGTATCAGTTCGACGGGACCACAGCCCGTGGCTGTAGAGAGCAAAGTGAGCGAAGTGCTACAAGATGTCGACCCGACGACTGTTTCTGACGAACTGTTCGACGCAACGACAAAATGTGCTGTGCCAGCAGAATCACCATACCTGCCAGCAAAGAAGCGCAAACGAGTGGGTGTGGAGCTCGGATTTGTGCACGCTGCCACCCAGGAGCTCGAAAGTAAACCGGAGGCTGCGGAAAGTCAGCTCAAGGCTGCAAAAGCTATGGTAGCGATGGAGAAAGGATTGGAGCAAATTGGGACAAGTCAAGTCGACAAATTGACGAAAGAAAATTTGCACTTGATGGCCGAGCTGCAGGCAGCTTCAGCAGAAAATCTCCAACTAAAAGCAGAATTGGCCGCAAAGGATGGCGAAATGAAAACAAAAGAAGCGGCGTTGCAAGCGACCGCAAAGCTACACGAAGAGTTGGGGGCAAAACAGAAAGAAGCGGAAGTGAAGAACAAGCAAGCTTTGACGAAGCGCTTTGAGGCGGATTGCGAGGCGACGTCGCGAGAAATGGCGGTCAAGCTAAAAGAAGAACTCAAGAAGTACCAGCAAAAGATTGAAGCAGAGCATTATGAACAGCGAAGGGAAGCGAGCGAGAAGATGGCCGCGCTCGTCAACGAGAACGAAACTCTGCAGACACTGCAGAGTGCGAAGGACGAAGAGCTGGCCGACTGCGAAGTTGAACTTGCACGCTCGCGCGAGGAGATCACTACGTTGGAGAAACGTGTCGCCACATTGTGTGCAAAGGAGGAAAAGCTGGCCGACTGCAAGAAAAAAATAGCTGACCTGGAATCAAAGCTTGCAGTTTTGAAAGAAGAGAGTGCGGAGATTGTTGGCTTACTGGCTGCTGCGGAAGAAAAGGTCGTTGCTGCAGAAAACAAAGCTGCCAAAGCAGACATAGCTGCTGCCGCAGCAGCTCGTGCTCGTGCCAACAGCAGTTTCGACGCCAACGAGCGACAAGAGCTACAAAACTCAATTTCTTCTTTTCGGTGCGAGCTTGAGGCGTACCGTGCTCAACTTACAAGCCGAGAAAAGGTGCGCATGCATGTAATGTGTCGGAGATGTGCGGAGCATTACTTACGATTTGTCTGTGTGATGTTCGGCAATACTAGCACACAACGCAGCAGGCGGCTGCACTGCAAGTGGCCATGGCCTCGTCAGCAAGCAGCACTGCAGAAAGGTATGTTTCAGCACTGCTATGAGCTGCAAATAAAACTGACCATCGCTTGATCACGCAGAGTCATTCAAGACAACAATGCAGACACTCTACGCGCCCGGTTGGTAGCCGCATCGGATCTGTTTCGCCACGTCCAAGCACTTGGTCTCCAAGGGATGCGTTTGATCAATGAGACCAATAGGTCCAAACTTAGCGATCTTCCTTGCGAATTGGCAGCGACGATCGACACTCGCACGATCGTGCCGAATTCGCCGTCGTTCTCGCCAGCCAAAGACGGTCGACACCTTGCGGAAGCTGACACGACGACCGCAACCATTGACAATGGAAGCGCAAAGGCCAAGGCATCCCCGACCACGTTGAAGCCAGGGGAGAAGCCAGAGCCGAACAAGCAGGCAGCACTTGCATCTGCAGCGATCGACACCGACATTGACGCCAGTGCAAGAAGTGCAGCTACGACTTCGTTCACGGCCAGTGGCCATAATTTGTGCCGTGACGTTCGCACTGTTGTGGTCCATAGCGATGACAAGGACGAATGGGACGTGATAGAGTAAGTGCGCACGGCCGAGGAACGACCCGTTCGTCGTTGTCGCAGTGCACGATCATGCCGATGGTATGATTACGATGTGGCGGGAGGGGGTAACCAATCAATCTATCCGAACCAGTGCGCTCGTCTTTGCCACAACTGCCATTCATCCACGAGCTGCTGCGTGGAGTCGGAAGTGATTAAGTGTCTGTCCCCTCTACGAAGAAGCCACACAGTTTGTCACGCGCTATGCTTCGCACTGCCTTCCGCCTTCGCGCTGCGATGCAGCAACGCACGGCCGCTCGTCTCGCGCGCAGCTTCGCTTCGTACCCTCCGCACGAGGTCATTGGACTGCCATGTACGTTTGCAAACGCACTTGACCCCGTGACTGTGTCTAAAGTGACGGGTTCCTTCTCTTCTGTCGCTGCGTGTAGCCCTATCGCCGACGATGGAGACGGGCAACATGTCCAAGTGGATCACGAAGGAAGGCGACGCCATCTCCGCGGGCGACGTCGTGTGCGAGATTGAGACGGACAAGGCCGTCGTCGACTACGAGGCCACGGACGACATGTTTCTGGCCAAGATCCTCATTCCAGAGGGCACGGAGAACGTGCCTGTGGGGCAGCCTATGATGGTCGTATGCGACGAGGAGGAGTCGATTGCTGCCTTCAAGGACTTTAAGCTCGAAGACGGCCCGACTGTTTCTGCTGGTGGTGAGCTGCCGAAGGCGGCAGACACACCAGCAAAAGAGGAGGAGGTCATGAGCTCAACCATCAGCGAACCAGTGGCCGCGACTTCGCCGACCACGAATGAAACCAAAGCCGGTCCTTCCATCTCGGCGGCTTCAGTGGCACCTCTGCCAAAGGCAGTTACTCGCGCTGCGAGCGCCGGCGCCGTTTTCGAGAACAAATGGGGTCTTGGCATCAAGAAGAGCGCCATCTCCACGAGCCTCATCAAGCGACAGCAAGCGTACATTGCTCTGTACGGGATCACGGGCATGACGCCCGCGGAGCTGTTGTCAACGAAGTAAGAAACATGTCAGGCATGCAAATACACTGCACGTGCGATGGGCGCCCCTGCCAAAGAATTGGTTTGCTACGTTGTTGATAGAAAAGCGCTTCGTGACATTGCATGCTGCATTTGTGTGTATGTGTCAAGAAAGTCTCAACTCAATACTGAGGAACGGTGACGCTCATCGAGTGCACTTTTTCAAGGTGACTAAGCACTCCAAAAGCGTCCACGGTGAGGAAGTCAAACAGTCCCGGGTGCTTCGCGTCGAGAGCCTGCAGAGCACGAGCACAAGGCAGAAAGTACAAGTTATCAACACAGTCGATGTCTCGCTCGCCCTCTCAAAACAGCATGAGCGATACGCACCTGATACTCGTTCAAATCAATGACTCCATTGTGGTCCGAGTCGGCGTCCAGAAACGTATTGTCCACGATATGGGCCAGCTGACTCTCCGACAGCGAGATCTCCAACTCTACACCCGCAGCAGCAGCACACGACGTCAGCAAAGCAATGAAACGTGGGTATACACATGTCCGACAATGAGCCGTTTTCAACGCGCCAAGACAAACGACACAGTTCCGCACCGTTGCATTCATCGAGACACGAGCGTAGCAGTTCCGTGGTCATTTTCTTCGTAATGACTCCCGTGCCTTTTGGATCCAGCAGGTAAAACGACAGCATCAGCTTCTGCTCACGAGTCGCCTTTTGACTCAGCAGCGACAACCCCTTCATGAGATTCTCAAACGTCACCTGCAAAAGTGCACACACAAGGAACCAGTCAATGACATGCGCGACGAAAAACTATGCAAGCGAAGAGAGGAGCGAGCGACCGCCGCATCGACCCCTCTCCACACACCCACACACATATAGACATTTATACACACACAAGGCATAGACACTCTATCTCTCCATTGCTACAATGTGCTTACATGTCCCTTCTTTTCCATGTCAAAGATCGCGTAGAGGCGATTCGCATACAGACTCGACGTGCTGCTGTCTCCGCCTGCCAAGAAGCGGAAGAACTCGTCCTTGGGGATCACCACTGCGTCCTTCTCGTGCTGTCCGAGCACCGCCGCCAAGTGCTTGCGAATCGACCGCATCTCGTACGGCGAAAAGATCGCCGACACGTCGACATCGGCCAGTTTCGTCTCGAGCAGCGACTGGGGCGACGGAGGCACTGAGGGCGTTGGCGACGCACGCGGAGCGCTGGACGCGGCAGGCACTGGATCCGACGCGGGCGGAGGAGGAGCAGAGCACGACGGCGCTGGTGGTACAGGTGCAGTAGACGGCGGCGGTGCTGGTGCTGCTGCTGCTGGTGCTGCTGCTGCTGCTGCTGCTGGTGGTGGTGCACTGCGTGAGGCGCTGGCAGGAGGCGCCGTCGGCTTGGCTTGCTTGTTCCCCATGGACAAGGACGGAATGGTCGTGCTGAAGTAAGATTGCGCGCGCGACTCTTTGTTTACTTTTGCTAGTTTAGGCACGCAAGTCGGACGGTGCGTGGACTATTTGGGGCTCCCCCGATTGTGTGCACGCACATATCTATCGACATGCAAATGGGTACGGCGCCTACAAAGGTGGACAAAAGCTCCCACTGTTGCTGCGTCGCTCAACGAAATGGCCGTCGCGGGTGAACTGCAAGGAGCAGCTGAGCAGCGCAAACGCGACGCACTGCACCGCGAGGTCGCCGAGGTGGTCGCCCTCGTGCAGAGCGACTCTCCGCTCGTTGCACTCGAGGGGTTTGCGAAACTCTCGCATGTCACATTTAACAACCGTGAGTTGCGGTTTGCGCCTGAGTTCTCTGAAACGGCTCGACCGAAAGGGTTTCTTTGTTATATGTAACTGCGGTGTGTGTGTGTGTGTGTGGATGAGGTGATCCAGTGGTGAGCAAAGAAGCGGCAGGCCAAGCAGGAGCGGTCGAGGCCGTTGTCGGTGCCATGGAGCGCAATGTCGCCAATGGAACTGTGCAGGAAGACGGCTGCCACGCTCTGCGCAATGTGGCGTTCCATTGCTGTGAGTTTTGTTTGCTGTCGAGATGAGCCATTGACGAGTAAATGGGTACATGATGATACAGTGTAAATGTCGTGTGTTGCTAGTGCCAAACTTGGTGCTGGTGCGAGAACAAGGCGCCATTGCAGCGGTGCTCAAGGCAATGGAGACACATCCCGAGAACGAGGCCCTTCAAGCTGAAGGCTGCTGGGCGCTGCTGGTCTTTTGCTCCAACACGGGTACGACTTGTTGTTTGCGATGAAAGTGATGAAGACGTGTGACTCAATGTCGACCGCTGCTCGGACAGATGAAAATGCCGCGGTAGCGAGACCGCACGTGGCGCTGGTCCACAAGGCCGTTGCTGCGTACCCGACGAACGCCGACATCCAGAGTCGCGGTCGTTTCCTCGCGGCGCTTCTTGCATGACTACTGTTGTTGTTGTTGTTGTTGATGCTGTTTCTGCTCGAAGCGGTGACGCGCGATCGGAATCTGGAGCTGGTGAGGAAGCGCGCAATTGACGTGAGGCTGACACAAGTTCGAAAACCTGTCTCTGTGCTGTACTCAATATAGCTCGAGCAGATCAACTGCTTTAGTCTACTACTTATACTTGTTGCTGCTGCTGCTTGTACGATCCGTAGCCTGCAGCAGTGCCGTAACCAGTGGGACACGCGTAGAGGCCGTACTCCGGGTGCTTGTGGCGCTTGTGGATCTTCTCCAGCTCCATGAGGCTCAGCACGCTCGAGCCAAGGCCCAGCACACAGCCTGACGCGAAAGGCATCACGCACGTCTGGAACGAAAACAGCGCCGAAAACGGGTCCATGAACTGCAGCGTGGACGACAGGAAGAAGCCGACCATCGCGAGCATGTTCAGACCTGACACACAAGAAGCAAAGAAGCGAAGAGCGTCACTACACTGCCACACTCTCCTAGCAAAACAGAGCTACAGCGAAGCAATAGCAGTCGAAACGTACCAGTGATCCAAGTCTCGAGCGTCGTGAGTCGGCACGAAAACCATTGGTGGACGACCTCAACGTGCGCCAAGTAGGCGCTGAGCAGCAACAGGAACGACCCGGCAAAGAACGGCACCCAGTAGCCCACAATGAGGCTCAAGTCGTCGCGCTTGACGCTGACAATGCCAAAATTTTCCGTGTCGGCTTTTACCCACACATATGCCCGAGCGAAGACGTAGAGCATGGACCCGAACATGCCCAAGATGGCGGTCCAAAAGTCAATGCGACTCGGGAAGAAGCCGACGTACTGGCGCTCGAGAACGGGCTCCGTGCCGTGGAAGTACTCCTCGAGCCAAATCTCGAGGTTGTGGCAGCAGTTGATGACTTCCAAGTACGTGATCGCGTGGTACGCGAGGAAAAACACAGCGGCCAGCAGCAATGGCAGGTCCACGGACGAGTGCACTTGGTGCTCCATTCTCTGCGTCGTGATCGAGTCCCTCCCGTCGCTGGCGCCAAAGGCCACGGACTCGCCCACTGCGCCTGCGAGAAAGAACAGAAAGGCCACGATGGCACAGAGGCCGCCCCAGAAGCTGAGCGAGTACATCTTCCAGTGCTTGCCGTGCCACGCGCGGTAAAGCGTCGTCATGATCTTGCGGTGGGCCCGGGAGGACCAGACAATGCGTTTCTGGTCCACTGTGTAGAAATCCACGAGCGTGGGCGAAAAGGCGTCGACGCCGTAGTAGACCGAGTTGACGCTGTCTGGCGCGGGCACAATGAGCTCTTCCGAGGCCACGCGCGAGTAGGACGACGACACGGACGACGCCGTGGGGCTCGTGGCCGCGTAGGGGCCGCCGTGCTGCAGCAGCGGCATCTCTTTCTTCGTTACGCCCATCGGTGCTCTCGAGAAGGCAAATTCAAGACTCTGGAAAGCTGCAGCAAGAGAGAAAGAGAGAGAGAGAGAGAGACGACAACTCACTCACTCGCGGGCGTTCCTTCTTCTCGGCGGTTCGAGCGGCGGTTGCGTGAGGCCAAAGGAAGAGTGGCAACCAACTCCCGTCCACCTCTGTCTCTTGTGGGTGTCTCAAAAGGTCGTCGCTATGGAGAGCCTATCGCGCCGAGTGACCGAGTGAGTGAGTGAGTGACGGACAGACGGGGCAGCGCCGGACAGCCTGGCTGCCTGGGCGAGAGACGGCTGGCGGACGGCGTTTCTTCTCAGGTGGTTCAAGCAGCTTACGCAGCTCCTCAGAACCTGCGGCGCGCGCGCGTGGGAGAGAAGCGCCAGTGGTAGCGCCAGCTGCTCGATAAGCCAGTAATCTTTCTCGGTGCGAGCGAGATGGGCGCGCATAGCCGGCCTCGCTTCGATATCCCCCGCGCGTACTACAGACGCAACAGCAGCTGCTGCTGGTCCCTGCGACGACTGCTGTTGCTACTACTACTACTACTACTACTACTACTACTACTACTACTACTACTACTACTACTACTACTACTACTACTACTACTACTACTACTACTACTACTACTACTACTACTACTACTACTACTACTACTACTACTACTACTACTACTACTACTACTACTACTACTACTACTACTACTACTACTACTACTGATGCTGCTGCTGGAAACCGCCTGTTTGCCCTTTCCACTCGATACACCCGTAGCCGACTGCTGTGGGTCCCGGGGCTTATCCTCGGGATAGGTTACACGAGCGCTCACGTGCTCGCGGGGCCGTATTTCTCGCAAGAAATCAAGTGGGCCAGCACGCCAGCACCCGTCGGAGCGAGACACGCTATGGGGCAGAAGATCAGCCCGTCGCTCTCATCCAGTCGTCACACACGGCCTGACGACGGCATTGACCGGCAGACGGCTTCTGCAAATAGGCTACGAGCGCTCCATGAACCCGGCGGGATGCGAGAGCACATCTTACGAGGGCGGTACAAATCCCCGTCCGCAGCCGGTGGTAGGGCATCTCATCTTGCTGGCCGGATGGACTACGTGCGTATCTTTTTGTCTGCGCGACGCATCTGACTGCCTGCAATCCCTCCTCGATGACCAGCAGCCAGAAAAGCTCCACGAGTGATACGACTGTCACGAAAAGTCGCGTAACGAAAAGGTTCGAAAAAAAGAACAATCGCCGAACGCGCTCGGACGGATAATTTTGGGCTCCCGTGCGCCCCGAGAGCTCGCCAGAGGTACCCAAACTGAGTCCCTGTGATGCACCGCACCTTATCCAGCGACGCCAAAGGCGATGCGCCCGAGCTATTGCGCGCCTATAGTTTCGGTCAGGTGTGTGTGTGTGTGTGTGTGCGTGCGCCTGTGAGGCGATAAGAGCGAGAGCACGTTGACACTCGACAGTCTGAGCGTCAAACACACGTGACACGTTCGTGTGGTGGACAGAACACCTGCGGGGAGTTAGCGCTCGGCGACACGGCCGATCGTCACAAGCCAACACGCGTCGAGTTCGACAGCAGTGCCAATGGGCAAACAGCCGTCGCGGACGTTGCTTGTGGGAATGAGCTCACGAGTTTTCTGTCCGGTGCGTTCGCATTGTTGCAATTCTGGTTGCCTCTGTCCGAGCACTGACGGATGCTGTCCCGTGCGCTTGGGATCGTTTTTGTGTGTGTGACGCATTGCAGAGAGCGGAAATGTGTTTACGTGCGGTCACAATGACAGGTATGCCGTCGGTTTGTTGCAGCGGATCAGAGTGATGTGTGCTGTGCTGACGTCGTCGTGACGTGTGGTGGTGTCGTCGGTAGCGGCCAATGTGCAATGGGGTCGACCGAGCGCGTGCCCACGCTCCAGTTCTCGCCAGGACTGAGTTCTCTTGGCACGACTCGAGTCTTCTCGGGCAACGGTAGTGAACACCTTGCAGCACTGAGCGGTACGGAGTGAAGTCGACGACGAAAGGCTGGCAGACTGTTATTAGATGGGAGGTGCTCACTTGTGAGATGTTGCACGGCGGCGCTACTTTTGTAGCAAATGGACAGTTATACACCGTCGGGTTGAACGTGCACGGGCAGCTGGGTATCGGCTCTGCCACAAATGTAGAGGAGCCTATGCTTGTGGGAGAATTGACGAGCAAGCGCGTTGTCGATGCTGCTTGCAGCTACTTCCACACGGCAATTGTGACGGACAGTGGTGAGCTGTACGCATGCGGTCGCAATGACTACGGGCAGCTCGGATCAGGGGGTGGCAACGACCAGCTTGTACCTCGACCTGTTGGTTATTTCTCACGGCATCCAGTACTAGCAGTTGCGTGCGGTCAGCACTTCACTGTCGCATCGCTGAGTACGTTCTGTAGCGAACATGTGCGCGGTGTTGGCGAGCTAACAGTGCTTGCATCGTTGACTCAGGAGAAGGAGGCGTCGTAGCATTTGGTAGAAATGACCACGGCCAACTCGGGATTGGGTGTACATCCGAGCCAGTGTTCGAGCCTAGACGCTTAGCCTCGCCCCTGGACAGAGCAATGGTACCGCAGCTGTCTTGTGGGTACTACCACACCGCCGTCATCACGGAGGACGGTGCCGTCTATACATTTGGCCGTAACGACTACGGTCAGCTCGGTCTTGGGCACAAACTACACATGGCCCGACCGACGGTATGTCCAGACTTTTTGCTTGGTTCTTGCCCCAGTGTAGTGGATTGGCTCAGCGTGTAGATGCTGTGATGACTAATATGTTTTGATGCTCTGCTTTAGATTGTAAAAAGCTTGTCACGCGTGAGGGCAGTCCAGGCTGCATGCGGTTGCTACCACACGCTAGTGCTTTCGGATGACGGCAAGGTGTTTCCATTTGGCCGCAACGACCACGGTCAGCTTGGCTTAGAGACAACAATGGATTGCCTGAGCCCCCAGCTTATAGCATCTCTGCAGGGCAAAGCTGTTGCCAAGGTACTTATTGCATGCGACAACGAGCTCTGTCTCGTGAAGATGCAAGCTAAGCACAAGCTGCATGTTGTCGTGACACCGGGCACATAGGTCGCTGCTGGGTTTTACCATTCCGTTTGTCTGGTCAAGACGTCCGAAGGCGCGCAGTCATTGGGACAAGGCACTACAACACTGAGCGTAGATATGGGTAAGATGCTGAACAATCCGACCCGAAGCGACGTCGTCTTTTTGGTCGAAGATCGCCGGTTTTTCGCACATGGCTGCATTTTGGCAGCTCGTTGCGAGCCACTGGAGAAAATGCTCGATGGTCGAACAAAAGACGGGCTGCAGTCGGAAATCGTCATCCCCGAGTATTCGGTACGTGGACAGTATTTGGTCAGCTCAACGAAGCAAAGCTGGTAGGTAGCTCGACCGCTGACCGTCTTTGCGAGTTGGTGTGTTGGTGGCACAGTTCGATGTGTTTGCTGCTCTGATGGCATTTCTATACACTGACCAAGTGGCCGCCCTGACTTCACAAGATGTGACGGCAGGTACGAGCTCTTACTTGTCAGCAGGACGTAGACGTGCTTGTCTGGGTGACCTCACGCAGTACGCACTTTTCGTCGTGCCTTTGCATGGCGCAAGCAGCTTTTGCACTGGAGCTGCATGCACTGGCTGATCAGTACCTGGTTGGCAACCTTCGAAGGTATTGCTTTGCTTTTCTCACGTATTCATCCACGTGCGATGTGATCGATCACAAACAATGCGTGGCGCTTTGCAATTGCGTTTCGTTCGCCAGTTTGTGCGAGAGCGCTTTGGGACGGGTACTATCAGTGGAGAACGCTGTCATCATCATGGAGGTGCGTTTGACGTCTCGATCGTTACCCCGCGACGTACGCCAACACCCTTGTTGTGCTGGCACCTCTGGCATCATTCAGGCAGCGCATTTTCGGAGCGCTTTTGCGTTGAAAAAGCGTTGCGCACGCTTCATTGTGGATCATTTCGATCGCGTCAGTGCAACGCAGGTAAGCCGGCGCGCTGCAATCTTCGTAATCGTTCTTCGTCTTGTCTCATCTCTGCATTGATCGACAGCCTTTTGCTGGACTTCCGCACGACATGCTTGACGAGCTGCTGCTTTTGGCTAGTCACCGAGGTGTAGCGGTATCGAGTCGAGGTGGTGCTGGTAGCGAGTAGCGAGCATATGTCCCCTGCGATCACTATTGAGTCAGTGCCGAACATCTGTTTGCCGCATCGTGCATCAGCTCGCAAAGTATGATGAGTTTAGCCATCTGAGTCGATAAAACAATGACCTGTCCAACAGAACAGCAGCACACGGTAGTGGTACGAAACACGTTATTGCCCTTTATCGCGGCGACAAGCGCGGTCTGCCGCATATTGGTTCGTCAATCAACTCATTTCTGTCAGCATACTTACTGGCGTTTCTAAGTACTCCTTCCACTGGTTGGAGAAACGTGCCATCGTCGCTCCGTCAATTACGCGGTGATCGCCGCTCCACGATACGTTCATCAGACGCACGGGTTTGACGTTCCCCTCGGCGTCATAACGAGGGAGCTGCTGAATCCGACCGACCGCACCGATTGCTACTTGAGGAACCATAAGGACGGGACTCGTGTACGTTCCGCCAATACTACCAATGTTGGAGATCCTGCACGAACATACCGCGCTCAGCAACCAGACCACAGCGAAAAAGAACGAATGTTGGCAAGTACGTACGAGAATGTGCCCCTGCTTAGATCACTTGGTGCCAGCTTGCCTGCGGCCGCAAGCTGTTGCAAACGGTTGAGGTCTTCGCCGATCTCTATGACACTTTTCATCTTGCAAAGCACGATCGAAACGCCTGGTAAGTTTGCGCGGAAAGACCGCGGCGCAACTCAATTTACAAGACAAAGTACCTGGACGTTCTTGACATTCGGTACAATGAGACCTGTCGGCGTGTCCATCGCAACCGAGATGTTGTGCGATGCAATCAGCGTGAGCTCCGTCTCGCTTTCGCTCACGCAAGAGTTCAGTATAGGGTATCGCTTCAGCGCCAACGACGCAGCCTTGATGATGAAAGGCATGAACGACAGCTTTACACCGCGCAACTCGGCAAGCGGGCGCAACTCTTTGCGTAGCTCATACAGCGCGTCCATTTGAACCTGTCGTAACAAACCCAACAGTTCCATCAGCCGTGCTGATCACGAAAACTGCATGCCGCATCTGCTGCACGCCACATACTTCATCACCGTATCCAAAGTGGGGGATCCGCAATGCCGCGTTCATTGACTTGGTCATCATCTTCTGAATCGCTGCATGCATGCAGACACACATACACAGCGACTCGTTAGTGAGCACACGGTCCAGTTCGATCGACACGAGTGTGTACCACAGGTACAACAAAACCTCAACTCACGTGACAGTAGCACGACCGTGTCTTGTTCAACGTACGTTGAAGGAAACCCCTTCTCCAGAGGCAATGATGGTACAGCAGCTTCGGGCGGGCCGCCTGCCGTCTCAGCCCCTCGAGACTGCGTTGCGAGCAACCGAATGTAGTCGAGCAAATCTCCTTTGAGGATGCGGCCTTGGGGTCCCGTGCCTTCCACGTCCTGCAAGTCGATGCGGTGCTCCATCGCCAGTCGTCGCACGGACGGCGACGTCAGCACCTTGTCGTCGCTTTGACCTGCACGAGGCACCACTGACCGCCTCGAGAGTACCGGCACGGCGGCCATCTCTGTCGAACTAGCAGCAGCAGCAGTCGGCGCAGCAGCAGTCGGCGCAGCAGCGACTGCATCTACAGTCTCTTTGACGATCGGCGCACGCGCCATTTGGGGAACCGGAGCGCCCGACAGGACCTTTTTCTTGCCACCTGCTTGTTTCGCAGCTGTGGCGTCGTCCACGTCAATGTCCACGAGCGTCGAGCCCACTTTGGCCATCTCGCCTACTTTGTAGTGGACGTTCGCGACGACGCCATCGTATCGACTCGTGATCTCCACCGTCGCCTTGTCGCTCTGCACCTCGCACACGTTCTGGAACTGCTTGACTTTGTCCCCGCGCTTGACAAACCACTGCAGCACTTCCACCTCGGCAATCCCTTCGCCGATATCGGCCAATTTGAATGGGATCTCCGGCAGCGCCGTCACGGCACTTGCGTGGACGCCGCGACGACCGGTCGTCGCCAGGCGCCGGCGGGCGCACGAGATCGACGAGCGCATCGAGTGCGCACTCGGCGGCAATTTGAAAAGTGACTGCGTTGAAGTTGCCGCGCGCGCAAAAGGGCAAACCACGTGGGCGGGGTAGGGTACTCTGATTCCATCGCGGTCGGCAAAAAACCGAGGCAAGGCGACGTGGCCGAACAACCATTTGATGGGCGAAATGAGCACGAGTTTGCACCACTACTACTGCCCGGTGGGTCGCCAAGTGTGAGTCGTTGCTCACTCCGTTTCCTCGACGCCAACGCATCACGACTAGGGTCGCTGCATTGGACGCCGCACTCGATGATCGAAGACGATGCACTGTTCCTAGGCCTCGATTGCTCCACGCAGAGCATGTCGGCTGTTGTCGTCGACGCCGCTGGTCATGTCGTACACGAGTGCTCGTTCCGCTTCGATGACCGGTTCCCGCAGTATCGAACGGACAATGGCGTGCTGCACCTGACCAAGGACGAAGTGGTGATCCCGTCGCTTCTGTTCGTCGAGTCGCTCGAGGCCATGCTGGACGATTTGGCCAAGAGCTCCGCATGCAATGTCGCCAAGTTCAAGAGCGTCAGCGGTAGTGCACAGCAGCACGCGTCCGTGTATTGGCACAGAGACTTTTCGCTGCAAGCGTGTTTGACCGCCGCCGTAGAGTCGGACGCTGTTTCGATCGTCGAAGCCATGAGACAGCAGACGCACCCGGTTTTCTGCCTACCGAATGGGCCCAGCTGGATGGACAGCTCGACAACACGCTATTGCACCGAGTTGGAAGCTGCTGTCGGGGGACCTGATCGCGTCGCTGCGATTAGCGGATCGCGGGCGTACGCGCGCTTCACGGGCAGCCAAGTCGCGAAGCGGATACATGCGAATCCAGCGTTGTTGGAAGAGTGCGGACGCATTGCATTGATCTCATCGATGCTGACGTCGCTCCTGTGCGGCAACTACACTTCGATCGACGACAGCGATGGATCAGGCATGAACCTTCTCGACGTGCGAAAGCGCGTGTGGTCCCGAGAGCTTCTTCGAGCCACGACCACGTACAGCAACAACGCCAATGCCGCGGCACAATTGGAGACGGCGCTGGGCTCGCAGGTTCTGCGAGCGTATTCGCCCGTGGGTGCCATGCATGCTTACTACCACAAGAAGTACGGCTTTGCTGCCGATTGCAAGGTGATTCCGTTTTCCGGCGACAATCCATGCACGCTCGCTGGCATTGGTCTGTCCCAGCCAGGCGACGTGGGCATATCGCTGGGCACATCCACCACGCTGTTCGCTGTGGTGCCGACGGACGCCGCGCGTTTCTCGGGCAAAGAAGGCCATTTCTTCTGCAACCCAATTGATCCCAACAGTTTCATGGCCATGATCTGCTTCAAGAACGGATCGCTTACGCGCCAAGCAGTTCGGGATCGTTGTGCAGGTGCTTCATGGGAGAAGTTTGACGAGCTGATGCACGCGACGACAGCAGGCAACAACGGCATGACAGTGTTCTATTACTTGGACTCTGAGATCACGCCATCAACGCTCAAGACAGGAGTTGTCGGCTTCGATGTCAGCAGTTCTCGGGTTGATGTGTCGGCATTGCCACCTCAAGTGGAGATCCGTGCAGTGGTCGAAAGTCAGTTCATGTCGCTACGTCTGCATGCCGAACGACTGGGCGTCACTAAGCCACGGCGTCTTATCGTGGTCGGTGGAGCATCTACGAACAAGTGCATGCTTCAGGTGCTCGCCAACGTCTTTGATACGAACGTGTACCGCTGCGGCAGTACCTCCCACTCCGCAGCTCTTGGTGGTGCCTTTCGTGCCCGCCATGGATATGCCTGTGCTAACAGCGTGGCCGGGTACGTGCCGTTCGACGTGAGCGACAGCTTGGACTTTTCCCTGAGCGCCAGTCCCATCGACGGCGATGCCAAGATCTATAGGCGCGAGATTTCTCGCTTCGAAGCGCTCGAGGATCAAGCCGTGAGTATACTCACCTAAGCAGCTGCAGCTGCAGCCGCAACTACAACTGCAACAACATCATCTACTTCAAAATCGTTCTTGAACCTGAACCTCATCCGTAAACCCTTTTTCCCTCCAATCTCAAAAAACGATACAAAGTTACGTCATCCCTCCCAGTGGCACACGTCTGAGTCCGCGTGACACCGCGCCGGACAACGCCATACGTTGAAGTTACCGGTCGGTTTGCCACTCACGTGACGTTCTTGTTACGGGGGACCGTATCATGTCCGCTTCAGCATCTTCGTCCGTGTATGCAGCTGACCTCGTGCCACTATTCCAAACATCATCGAAACAATTTCCGTGATGCAGACGAAAGGGCGCAGAGCACATAAAACAGCCAATTCCCATACCCTCCGTCAACGAATAGCTACAAACCGCATACCATACCATCGAAGTTCAAGGTCGTCGTCCGTCTTTGCCAGTCTCCGAACCGCGTCGTACCCGTCACTCGCCATTGCTCATGTCTCTGTCGTCCACTGCCGCCCATCGTCTGCTGCGCCGCACGCGTGTGCACCATCGCCTACCCCTGCACCGGGCTCTCCACGCCGCTCTACCGCTCTCGCAAGCGCAAGCAGAAGAAGCAGAAGACGAAGACGAACAAGCGGATGCCCTACCGGTCGTTGAGACCGCGCAAATGAACATGTTCACCGCCATTAACGACGCCATGCGCGTGGCCATGGAGACGGACCCGTCGGCGATTCTCTTTGGCGAAGACGTGGCGTTCGGAGGCGTCTTTCGCTGCTCGGTGGACCTGCGGGAGAAGTTTGGCAGCGACCGCGTCTTCAACTCGCCCCTCTGTGAACAGGGGATCGCGGGCTTTGCCATTGGCTACGCGTCGACGGGCCGCACGGCCATTGCCGAGATCCAGTTCGCCGACTACATTTTCCCTGCGTTTGACCAGATCGTGAACGAAGCGGCAAAGTTCCGCTACCGCTCGGGCAACGAGTTTGACTGCGGGAAGCTCACGTTCCGAGCCCCGTACGGAGCTGTCGGCCATGGCGGCCACTACCACTCGCAGTCGCCCGAGGCGTACTTTGCGCATACACCTGGCCTCAAAGTTGTCATGCCGCGCAACCCTGTGACAGCAAAGGGGCTGCTGCTCGCATCGATTCGGGATCCAAACCCGGTGCTGTTTCTCGAGCCCAAGGCGCTGTATCGAGCATCGGTTGGCGAGGTAAGGGAGGACCAGTGGGTGTCTTGCGGTCCATGACAATCATGGACAACAACTGCCCGTTTATTTGCGGTGGACGAACGTTACTGATTGAATGCTTGTTTCGTGTTGGTTGGCGATGGACCGTAGGTACCGGTGGGCGAGTATGTGCAGAACCTGAGTGAGGCCGAGATTGTGCGGCAAGGCGCCGACGTCACAGTTGTCGGGTGGGGTGCACAGATGCGAGTGCTTGAAGAGGCTTGTGGCTACGCCGAGGGCGTTGGTATCAGCTGCGAACTCATTGACTTGCAGACGATTTTCCCTTGGGACGCTGACACGATCGAGCACTCGGTTCGCAAGACCGGTCGACTGGTCATCAGCCACGAAGCTCCGGTACGATGCTGCAACAACCGTGCGTGTCTTTTCTTGATCAGTGCTTGTGGGTATTGACACCCGTGCTTGTACGTAGAAATCCGGTGGGTTTGCTGGAGAGATATCGTCCAGTATTCAAGAGCGGTGCTTCTTGAGCTTAGAAGCTCCCATTCAGCGCGTATGCGGTTACGATACGCCCTTCCCGCTAGCATACGAATCGGTGAGTCGAGAGTCCGTTTGCATTGCTGTTGTATTCAATTGCTGACGCCTTGTCATGTCTGTCAGCACTACCTTCCGGACGCGTTGCGGAATTTCGAGGCGATCAAAAACGTAGTGAATTACTAGCTACCTCGTTTTTGCTTGATGGTCAGCGACCATTTGGTCATGTTCTAGCCTTTTGTCGTGGCTACTTTTGCGTCTGTGGTTGTAGTAGACTTTCGTAATACTCGCAGAATAACTGAGTTTGTGTAAATTCGTCCAGGTAGTCCTCGTAGCTGCTCTTGTGCACCTCCTTGGCCACTTCTTCTTGTAAGCGGTCATAGAAGCTCTGGTCTCCTGGCAATGCACATACGATCAGACGCGATGAAGAGACTATCGCACACCGTGGTTCGAGAATCGACTGCTTACCTGAAAGCGACGCTGCCAAATCGTGGGAAGATATGTCGAAACCCAGGTCACGCAGGAAAATGTCAGCTTCCTGCAGTGTCAAGGTGATGATTGTGTCTTGCTCGCTGGACAATTCGTGCCACGGCTTCCCTGATGGACGCAAAGCGTTGAAACGCTCTTTGGCTTTCGACAGCAAATGACAAAGTTCCACGCCATTTGGCAGGGACGATGGACCCAGGTGTCTTGTCGCGGCCGGCACAGCAACATGGTCCTTATCGATGTTGTAAAAGCAAACATCAGGCCATTCGGATGTCTCGCTGAGGGGATGGCAGCCGACGAGGAAAGGAACGGGAGAATGTAGGAAGTCCAGTAACCCCGACGGCAGTAGGGGGATATACGTTGACTGCCACTGGAAAGGGGAGAGCAGCAGGACGAGGGCCGTGCAGACGGCTGACACCTTGGCAGGACTGTCGCTCATGATGGCAACTTGCTTCTCGAGCAGCAAATGTGCGATTACTTCGACCACGTTGTCTGGCGCCAAGAAGCGCAACACAACACCAACTGCCCATCGATCGGGGTGGCGTCTCGGAAACTGATAGCTAAAATCAAAGGCAGGAAAACGGGTCGTCGACCAGTGTCCTGGATCGTTCATCCTCATGCGCTGCGCCCGGCGTAAAACCTATGACGTTCACCAGCAGCAACATATCCGTCAGTTGCAGAGCTGTTCGCGTGGCTCAGCTACACAGCAACCTACGTACATCGATCGAACTGGCCGATAAATACCGGCGACGTTTTGACTGTTTTGCAGACGGCGGGTCTGTCGATTTGTGTGGCCTGCGGAAGCGTAAACGCATTGGCCGGTTTCCCTCTTCCAGCAATGTCATCGTTTGATCGAAGCTCATGGACGCTACAGTAAGAGGAAAAAAGTAGCACAGTCATATCGTGAGAATAACGATGATCAGCAAAGAGAGTGCCCTGTCGTACCGGTTGCAATACTGTCCACTGCCTCCAACACATCACCGCTCTTCACACGTTCGTATTCCTTAGGTTGGTGCGAGCCAATGTTTTTAGCCATTGGTCTGCCCATCATCCACTCATTGGTAGCATTGTACGAGTCGATGTCGTCGGTGCTAAGGCTTTTGCGAAATCGATCGGGTCGCCTTCTTGTTGCCGCTTTTGACCCATTGTCTGTACCCTCGTCGACGCTCACACTCGCATCTTCGCTCAGAACGACACGCCGATCAGTCAGCGACATGTTCGCCTTTGTTGCTATCGATGCCAAATTGATCTGTCCCGACATCTCTGAACCATGGAGCTGCTTTTCCGTCATGGGCCTTTCTTCGTGGAAGTTTGTGAACTCGACTGCAAGATCCAGCAGCGGTCTCAAGATGATCTCAAACTGCTCGTCTTCTTTGACTTTCTCTCCTTGCTGATTCGTACAAGCTGCAGACGAGATTTGGCGTTGTTCCAACTCGTTCTCGATAATCATCCGTAAAATCTGTAGAATTTGTAAGTTCATACACGACAATCATCACATTCATGCTTAGTCACTGAGCGAAAACACACTACAATAGCATTCACGACAGCCGAAGCGTCCGCACCGCAAAGTGAAAGCGATAAAACGGGAACTTAGTAGTGAAGCAGTAGCATCTCGGTGCAATTGCAGTCGTTGTGTCCGCCTTGTTCTCCTTGCCAGGGGAAAACGCAGGACCTCCACTTAAGTTGCCAGCAGCCACACCATCCACATCGCTCTTTGGATCACTGCTCGCCAACGTGTCGTTTGCTGCCACCACTTCCCACATTATAGCAACACAAAAGCCATATAACACCTCTCCCTTTCCACCTGTGAGACGAAAGGTATAACCAGTTGTCTCTGGCGCATGTTCCAGAAGCGCCTCGATTTCGGTAAACCACTCTGACACTGCCACACCTCGAATCGATGCCGCTTGGGCAGGTGCGCATACTGTCAGAGGGACGCCTCTCGGAAAGCAAAAGTCGGCAATGAATTCATCAGGTGGGCCCTTCGGTCTCTACATGACAAGAAAAAGCGCACAACCCGCGGCAAAGATGAATAAGTGTCGCGACGATAAGACCAAGGAGCTTACGCACGTTCGGAAAGTCGTAGAGTAGCTTGGGCTTCCAATACCCAGCGAGGCATGAAGATTGATGTTGTCGCTCCATGTCAGTGAGAGCCATTCCCGTAACGAAGAAGTGCTCGAAAATGCGCTCCTTCTTGAACTGCATGGAAAATTTGATCGAACGGACATTGTTGTGCACCTGCTTCGGATGCGTTCGCGCGTACCAAAGATCCCGCGAAGATGGTTTCACATGCATGATGCGGTGCATGAGGTGCTGTTGCTGTGCGTGCTGGCCGTGCGCAGTATTCGTTTCGTCCATGGACCGTTTTGACGACCCTCCTTCAAGAGCCTCAAAGGCCGAGCCTGTTGTCGACGACCGCTGTGGCCGTCCAAGAGACATTGTAGTTGCATCCAAATGGTGCACCAGCGATTGTTGATCGCGCAGCTTTAGCGTGGTCGACGCTTCCAACGGCTTCGTATAGTCGTCCGCCCAGCCAGCCTTTTCCTCATCTCCATCTGCTGCACCTTCCGACGTGTTCCAGTCGGACTCTGCCAGTGACGACAAAGCTGGCAGCTTCTTGCTTCCATCACTATCATCCGTAGCACTGCTATCTTCACTCGAGTCGTCATCAAAGTCAAACGACGACAACGTCGGACTCAGTAAGTTCGCCGTCTGGTCCGGACAGCTGCGCCAGATTCCCACAAGCAGCACAAAAGCTCTCAGACTGCATCACCAGCTCTCCATCAGCACTGCAGCGTACCTGTGTCGAGAACCAGAGCTTTCGACGCCCCCACCGTCGAACGAGTCGACCGACTCACTTGGACGACGTCGCTCCGTGCGCACGATCAGGTCCAGCAGATCCCTCGCCGTCTTCTGTCGTCGCCGCTTCTCCACCAGGTACTTTTCCCGCCACTTCTGTGCCTCGTACTGCGCCAGCGCCAGCTCGTTCTACAGAATCAGTGCACGGACGAATCAGATACGGCTGACGGCCAGCGCCAACAGTGCGACGACCGTTCGACTGGAGCGTATAGCCGCACTCCCAGCACAGCATAGTGCTGCATACAGCGGCGGAGTAGTACCTGTAGCTGCTCGAGCGTCTTTGGCCCTAAGTCGTCTGCTACGCTCTCGTTAGAGCTCATCAAGACTCGACGGATTCCAGGGAAACAACATGTTCTCAGAAATTTGGGTCTGATTCCTCGACTGATTCGGATTACCGCTGCACTTCACGTGCGTGTCGTCGTTTACATGAATTTGCCAAGCAAAAAGTGGATCTGATCGGACTCTCCTCGCTACTGGTATAATGATACACACCTTCAAACTACATCACGACACAACCGCCAGTGCCGGCATTGTGCTCGACATCTTCCATCTCAGCATCGTGAGCAAGCGCCGTCGGTCGTTGATCCATCTGCGTGTGCATCATCGAAACACAAAAGTGGATCAGCTTCAGTTCACGGCCACAAAAGCAGAATGATTCCACGCCCTGTACGTACCGGATCCTTCGTATACAGGTACGAGCTCTTCACCGTAAACTTCTCACCATTGTCGTACTGCATCTCGTACATGTCGTTGTCCAGCTGTTTCAAGACAATGCCACGGAAAAACTGCGCACCATCTTCGCCCACAGTGACCTTCGAGTACAAGACCGAACCCACAGCATGTTTTTGCCCCACTCTGCGCGCCTCAGATCCTTGTGGTGCCGAAGTAGCTACTACGCCGCTGTCACTCGTTGTCATTGTGCAGTCAGCCAATGTGCGTATGTTCGACGTAGAAGTGCTGTCGCGCTTCTTGTCGAGTGCTTGGACCGTCAGACTGCCCGCAGTCTCAGCCGGAGCGACGATCGCTGAGATTGCTCTTTGGTACGGCGTCACGGTCTCGGCATGGCTCGTTCGAAAGGCTGGCACTGTGAATGCTGGAATCATCTTCTCGTTCGAGACATCCGGCGTGGCAAAGCGAGGACTAGCAGGCTGCACATGCGAGACACGATGGGGCTCGACAGCCGCATCCCCGACTGCCACTTCTTCGATGGTCATCACGCACTTCTTCATGACGTCTTGTATCGGTCCGCTGAGACGCTCCCAAAAGGCCTTGAACTCGCGCATGAGCACACTGCGCACTGATGTCGAAAGAACTGCTTGCTTGTTTCTCCAAATCTCTTGCTGACCTTCGGCGATCTCCATGAGCACTTGCATCGAGCTTTGCGTCACCCCGATGAATTCGCGGATACGCTGCTCAATGTCACCCTTCTTGATCGGCGCAGAGTCGCCGAAATACTCATTGTGCGCAGCAAGAGCCTTCTCTTGCTCTTCCACTTCTCCCCTCGCTTTCGACTGCTGAACAGCGTGAAACTCGCAGTAACGACACAACGCGCGCGTGAGCATGGGGATGATTTCTTCAAGTGCGGTTGTTACACGCGCCTCCGAACTCGTGCGTGCTTCTTCTGAGCTCTTAAAAGAGCTCGACAGGGCTTCTTCGCGCCGCTCGCGAACTTGGCAGAAGAATACGGACAACTTCTCGTGAAATGCCAACGCGTGCTGAGCGACCAGCAGTGTACGAGAAGCGTCCTCCGCCAGCTGCTCGCTTTCGTTGCGAGAGCTCCACAGCGTCTGCACCTCGGTGTCCTTTTGCTTCCAGACATTAACGACAGCCTGGAGACTAGCGGAGGCTTCTGTCTCACCTGCAGCCACAAGTTCTTGGTGTTGCTTGTGCACAAACTCTACGATCTGCACCGATCGGGCCTCTTTCGTTTCTTTCGCCTCCAACACTGCACGTTCAGCCGTCTCCACCTCAGCCATGCGTTCCGTCACGAACGTAGCTAGTCTTTGGCCCAAGGCTTCCAGTCCTGCTTCCACTCGGAACTTTTCGTTACCCCTTACTTCGTCCGATGCTGCATGTTGACTCAGCCAATCCGTATACACCTTGCAGGAAGAAGACAAACACTCAATAGCGTGCTTGGCAGCTTTGGCGCGAGCATACGCACTGGGTGCCGTCACATCATTTTCAGCTTGCACAATTGCTGCAACCTCTTTCTCTTTTGCCACGAGCGCAGTGTCCGTCGGTGAACACTCGGTCGTCTCCAGAGTATCCATGGATTGCGATGGTAAACTTGCTGCTACCTCAACGATCAGAGCCGCCCCTCGTTCCTGAATATCTCGTGCATCATCTTGCACGTCCACGTCTTGTACCCACGTGACCAATGCATCGACCGTCTCCTCCAAACACGTTGCCATCTCTGGCAGTGCCACCACCTCGAGAGACTTCCACACGTCTTCCACCCATTCCGGAGCAAAGACTGCCGCTCGAGCAGCAACACAATCGGCCACTACTTGCAGCAGTTGTCGCTGCGCTTTCGCACACTTTGCAGACGCCGACAGCTGCACGTTGGCTTCGTTCTGCAGTGACTTTTCTGAAGCGGCAGTGCTGCGCTCGTGGCCGTCTTCTTCTTCGCTCACGTCCTCCAGATCTATCAGTAGCGCAAAGCGTTCGTCCTTGTGGCGCTTACTGGGCACTTCGTCCGTGTTACTTGCCCAGGACGCACTCATGCGCCGCTTTTCGCGTTCCGGTGTCCCCATACTACTTTGTCTGGCAACAGCAGTAGTCGGATTAGTAGGATTAGTAGTAGTAGTAGCGGTGCACAGCAACGCGGGGGTTGTCATGAGGTGCGGGTTGCGTCGGTTCGCTCGGAGATACTGGTAGGCGGCCTTCGAGCGGTACTTGCACGTGCGCAGCGCGGCCACGAGCTCCTGAGTGCTCAGCGGTGGGTCGTACTCGGTCCTTGTCCAGACGCAGAGCTGCTCGAACTCTCGCAGTCGGTGCGCATCGTCCCACTTTGTCCAGAGATCGTCCATTCCCACGTTCTGCGTCAGCTGCAGGTCGTTGGGCATTGAGATTGACATTAAGAGACGCAAAAGTCGCGACGGAATTTTTGTGTGTTTTGCCAAAATTTTGCGATTTGTGCGTCCACACATTGAGCTATTTGTGATCAGAAACGCAGCGAGTAAACCAACGGGTCTGTTGCCATGGCTTCTTCTTCTTCTTCTTCTCTGCTAGTACGTCTTCATCTTCTTCGTCTTCTTCTCCTGCTTCTTCGACACGATGCCGGTGATCACACCTCGTCGTCTTCTTCTTCTTCAAGTTGATGGGAAATGACGGCTGAAACACACCACTTGTCCTCGAGCGGATCTTTCTCCAGCTGCAAAATCGTGTACTGGCCGAGCCGCAACGATCCTACCAAAACACCGCATCCACACCGTCTCGCCATCGTCAGTTGACACGTACGCGCTCGGATCCAACAAGTTGCAGCGCCAAATAGCACGTACCTGGATATATCAACGGCAGCTGTGCATGTGGATGATGGTCACTGCCCCCAATGATCTCGAGCGCTCGCTGCTCGTCTGGCTTGTACGACTGCAGCATGGGCAGCAGACCAGCGAAAAATGAGCTCTCGACCTGGGGCAGACGAGTCTTGACCGCCGAGTCGCGCAGCACTAGCACCATGTCACGATCCTCCATCGGGTTCTTCCCATCGTTCACCAACCTACGACCACACCGCCACCGACAACAAGCAAGCAAAGCAGTCAGCAAGTACGTCCCGCAACAGCCTCTGGCCACCTCCTCATTTTCTGTCCGCGAGTGAGTCACCCTCCAGTGCTTACTTGAAGTACCGCGCTTCGCCCATGACGGCCACGCCTTCAACCACTTGGTCTTCTCGGTCGTATACATTCGACGAGTACTGCGTCAGTGACGGCGCCGACACGACACTACTGCGCGTCGTCGGCGGATCGTTCTGCAAATCACCCGCAAAACACGTCCACACATGAGTACCACGTGCCTCCTCATCCAGCTCCTCATTCATTCATTTATTGGATCGCTGGCACGCACGTCGTTTGGTATGTAGAGCACCCGACAGATGATCATCTCGAGCCGCGAGATGAGCGCCATCATATCTCCTTCCGCAGCGGCCACTGTCTCGAGCACGTTGTAGTCACGCGGCCTTCGCTTGGCCACGAGGCCGCCCGTCACGAGCACAGCATCGACGTCGCAGTCGTCTGAGCTCACGAGCTCCTCGCAGAGCTGGTTCACGCGCGGGATGTGGCCGTCCAAGTCGCTGAGCAGCAATAGCTTGAGCTTAGTGACATTGCTCGGCATGGACACCTGCGCTTTGGTCGTTTCGGGCTACTGCAGTGGACTCGAGGGCCAATCGGGTCATAATTTGGAACGGCACAAAACGAGAACAAGTAGGTGCGATCGTGTGTGTGTGAATGTGACACGGAGGTCTTCCGAACGGCCTGTTTTTCTATGCTTGCAAAAGACGGGCGCGACGTCAGATGTCGTCCACATGTATACCCGCGTCTATTTTCTCTTGCAAGTAAGTAACTGGATGTACCGTTCTTACATGTCCGTGTGTGCAATTTATAGCGCCTGAGGACAGATTGGTGCCATGTGAGCTGCATATGGTCACACTGTGTCTCGCTTGCGCTAACGCAGGCCAGCATCTGCTAATAATAGCGACCGTTTCATAATGATACTGCCTTGTTCTGAGCGACAGAAGTGCGGCTTGTGCATTACTACAATTCCCCACCAGAGCCAGCGGCTCGTTCAAAACGGTACGTCAGATGGTATACTCCGGATAATGGGAAGGAAAACACTTGGTGTATACAAGAATCAGTTTCACGTGTTGATTTGAACAAAGAGCCATTCGTTTCGATCACCGCGTCAAACGTCGAAAAAAGGGAAAGACGACTGCAATAGGAGTGCTAGAAAGTGGCCTAACGTAATGGAAGTGTGGCAAGCATCGAGGGGGAGACTTTGCTGCGACGTGCAAGGCAAGAGTGATCTTGTAGCGATCGTTTTGCATGTGCATTTGCAAAAATGTGCAGTTCGATGTATTGACGTGAGCTGAAATAGCAACTCGATCCACCGCATCGCTCGACATGATAACAGCCCTGCTACGATGCACACGGGCACTACTAGATGAGGCAAAGTGAGCGCCATATCAAATGCGCATCACTAATGAACACCGATGGGGTCTTTGTGGCTTTGCTTTCTACTGATTTGGCAAAGAAGTATGCAACGGCACGGTGAGGCGAGTAACTGCACTTTCCTGCGAAACGGCGGACGATATTCTACCTGTTTCACGCCCTGGGCCGCTTTCGCTTCGTGTCTGCACCGTCCAATACACCCAACAATATCGGAAGCCAGGCAAGGAGAAGTTCCTTCGACGGCCTGCTTCAGGGGCGCTGGTGCAGAGCAAAAGGTGACCCTTTCACGATGGCTAATGTTATGCATGGTCTGGTGTCTGTCCATCAAAAGCCTGCACTGTTGTGCACGACCGTAGGTGCACTTCGACACAAGTGCGTTGATTTGCAAAAGGCTGCGACCATGCAGATGACAGCTTAGGTCTGTCAGCGCTCAAGCAACGTGTCGTGCAGCGCATTCGTAAGCGAAGAAGGACAGCATAGTTCCGTCGAGCACTGCACGACATGACCGAAGGACAGAATTGTAAATGGATCTGCTCGGCGAACGATGCACCTGTCATTTCTGAGATCAGTCGCGTTTAAGATCTTCGTTAATCTATCACTAGCGCCACCGAGTTATCTTGAACGGAAAATCTTACCGCTCAACGGACAGTGTGAAGCCAAGAACCCATTCAATGAATGGTTGTGTGCAAGACACGATGTGCGATGCGAATGTGAAGCCTACGGTAGCTCGCGAGCCTCGAAGCACAGTTATGTATCGGGACAGGCGATTGTCGATGAACAAGTGGCCAGGTTCTACGTCACGGCTCGATATTGTGTGTGCAGAGGCTGAGCCGATGCTTCTTGGCCGATAGCAACCTCTCGCGTTCCAAGACTTGCCTGGTCCGACTATCGGTAGGAGTCAGTACATCTGAGTTTGTATCGCATTGCCCCGAACGGCGTTGCTGACGCGGTTGCAAAAAGTGGTCTCAGAAGAGAGACACTAAATCGAGCCAATTGGCCCTATTCTGGCACGTGAGAAAGTGTTTGCTCACGGAGAGATAGATAGCCAGTCCTGCTTCTACGACCGCTCGATAAGAAATCGGGCGCTTTTTTGCCCACGACACAGACTTTCGTATCGAGTCAGGCCTGACTCCCATGTTTCTGGCTTGCTTACACCCCACCGTCTGGCTTTTATGGGCACATGTATACGTATGCATCCATGCATGTACAGTATGTATCTAATCCGAACGCCTTTTCTCCAAACCACCACGAACTGAACCACAACACGCCGACGCTGTGTGTATGTATGTACACAGCCACTCACTCGACAAATTACGCCGCCTCGCACCACGTGGTGTGGCCGTGTTCGTTCCCCACGGTGTCCACTAACGTCGCGGCCAGCTGTCGTCCGGATACCCGACCAACCGCGAGCGCCCTTTACCTGCTGCTACTGCTACTTACAAAGCGACGTCAGTACCCGACCGTTGCGAAATGCGATGGGGGTCCCGTCGCCCGCGAGACCATTGCGTGCTCAGTTCCACTTCGCGCGCGCTCGTCCGAGTGCCGCCGCCGACGCACCGCGTGATGAACGCCGCCCAGTACCTCTTGGACCGCGTGCGCACGTGCAAAGCGCTGCAAGACGGGAGCGACAAGACAAAGCAGCAGCAGCCGCAGCAGCACAAGTCGCGCAGCTGCTTTGCGTCCGTCGGCAGCGCCACGCACTCGTTCCACGGCGACGACGCCGTAGGCTTTGGCCGGAGCTATATGGTCGTTGCAGACGGCGTCTCGGGCACGTTGAAGGCGTCGGGAGTGCTCGCGCGCATCCTCGTGGCCGAGACGCTGGCGTCGCTCGCCAAGCTGCAGAAACAGACGCGCGAGACGGCGCCGAGCGCCTCGGACGTGCGCCAGAGCCTGCGCGTGGCCATCCAGAGCGCGCGCAAGCAGGTAAAGCACAAAGGGCGGCTCGACTCGACGCTCTCGACGGCGTTCTTCGACAAGACGGCGCGGCGGATGTTCGTGTACTCGATTGGCGACTGCAAGTGTGTGGTCTTTCGCGGGCGGGACCTCGTGTTCGAGAGCGACTCGATCGTCTACGACTTTAACGTGCCTGCCGTCGTCTCGAGCAACGAGTCGGTCAACTACGACGACGACGTGCAGATCCAGACGTTCGACTACGAAGCCGGCGACGTGTGCTTTCTGTTCTCAGACGGCGTGCACGACAACCTGTACGTCGACGACATTGCGTCGTGCGTCACGTCGGTCGTCGCGCGCTCGCCGCCCACGCGGTCGAGACGTGGCGCCGCCGAGGCCATGGCACGACGGACCGTGCAACGCGCCAAGGACACCTTCACGTGCACCTCGACGTACATTCCGTTTGCCGTCTCGGCCGCGGGCTTTTGCTGCGAAGCGCTGCACGAGCTCGAGACGAGCGACAGTGTGGACGCCGACGAGTTGGAGCGCTTTCGACGGCAGTGCGAGGCGATGCCGTCACTGGGCGTGACGCGCGCAGCGTTTGGCAAGGAGCGCCGCGTGCGTCGCTTGGCGTTCTACAGTGCGTCGAACCTGCTGGCGTTCGCGCACAAGAAGCAGGGCAAGCGCGACGACATTTCCGTGTGCGCTGCAGTGCTCGCGTGACGATGCTCCATTGGCAGGCAGTGGTCCGCGAGCGCTCGACGACGGATACTACAGCAGAAGCAGGTTAGGCAAATGATTATGAGACACTACTACAACACGACACCGTTACACAGCACGTTCTTGTTCCTCGAAAAAGCGCGGACGAGTGCGACGGTCTCTTTCTTTTTATTGCTGTTGTGGTTGTGTGGTTGTTGCTGCTGAAGTCGCAGTGTGAAGTAGCTGTACCACTTGCAGGGGTCCAATGGCTCCCGACCAGTGATCACTTGCGATTGGGTGTCAAAGCGACGCAATATGGGCAAGAAGCGCGTGCATCACGGCCGACGAAACGGCGGCCGCAGCGACAAGAAGCAGCGCGCCGAGGGCCAAGCGGACGAGTGGCGAGCCAATAGGTTTGCGGATTGGGTCTACGACAACGAACACTTTGACGCGTACTACAAGGCACAGCACATTGTGGCGGACGCTGAGTGGGACGCGTTCAAGAAAGCACTGGCGACGCCGCTGCCCACGACTTTCCGCATCAATCCCTCGTGCTCATTTGCTGAACGGTGAGCTGCTGTTGGATGCTTTTTGCTGTTGTTGGTGGTGGTGGTGGTGGTGGCAAAAGTAGAAGCTGTAGGACTGATGCCTTTGTTGCAGCATTCGCGAGCGCGTTGAGCAGGACTTCAAGTTCGATGGCCTTGTGGTCGACGATGAGCCAGTAGAGCCCATCAGTCTCATGCCCTGGTACCCGGACAATCGTGGGTTCACGTGGTCCGTCGAACGGCGTCGTGTGCGCAAACTGCCGATTTTGAAGCAATTCCAGGCCTGGCTCGTTGAGCTCTCATACAGCGGCAGTATCACGCGTCAGGAAGCTGTGAGCATGATCCCACCTCTTGTGTTAGGTGTAGAACCACATCACAAGGTACTGGATATGTGTGCTGCTCCTGGCTCCAAGACGTCACAGCTGCTGGAGTCGCTGCATGCCCAAGACCTGTCAACGGGCAAGACCCCTAGTGGAGTCGTCGTGGCCAACGATGTGGACCTCAAGCGCGCATACACGCTGGTGCATCAATCTAAGCGTATCAACTCACCCGCGCTGCTTGTCACTTGCCACGAAGCGCAGCACTTCCCGTTTCTTGGTCCGGATGGGACCGAAAGCGAAGGTGTGTTCGACCGTATTTTATGCGACGTGCCATGCAGTGGTGACGGCACGTTGCGCAAGAACCCGTTGATTTGGAAGAATTGGAGCGCCAAAGACGGTATTGCGCTACACCCACTGCAGCTGCAAATTGCCAAGCGCGGTGCGTCGCTGCTGAAGGTTGGTGGCAATATGTGCTACTCCACGTGCACGTTTAACCCACTTGAGAACGAGGCAGTGGTATCAGAACTGCTACGATGGAGCAACGGCTCGCTTGAACTCGTAGATGTGTCCGACACGTTGCCACTGTTGAAGCGCCGTCCTGGTATCAGTACCTGGAAGGTGTTGGATTCACAGCTGAAGGAGCACTCGTCATGCGATCCTCAAGTTGAAGAGAACAAGAACGTCAAGACCAAAGACAAAATTCGTGCTACGATGTTCCCGCCTACGGAGAAAGAGGCATCGGAGTTTCACCTCGAGCGTTGCATGCGTTGCCTGCCTCAAGATGAAAACACTGGCGGCTTCTTTGTCTGTTTGTTAAAGAAGGTGAAGCCAACTCCTGATGAAAAGGAGGAGCTTGCTACGGACGAGACTGGTCGAACAGCTAGCCGAACGGAAGAGTCTGTTGTGAAGTCTGATGATGTTGACGTGAGTGTCGATGAAGCCACACCAAGTGATGCTACAGTTGGTGACGTCAAAGTACTCGATGACGCGAGAACAGCTGTGGTCAATTCGCGAAGAACTCGTCGTGACGATCGTCGCAATAAGAAAGCTGAGGTGTACATGGCTTTTGGTAGTGATAACTGGGCTAACGTGCGCGACTACTACGATTTGGCTGCTAGTTTCCCGGCAGCACAGTTGATCACGCGATCGGAGGATGCAAAGTCCGTCACGTTCGTGACTGAGAGCATTACCATGGCTTTGCTGGAAGAGATGAAGCGCAAGAAGTTGAAGGTTGTGTTTGCTGGGCTCAAAATGTTTGAGCGCAATGAAACGGTCGAAGGTGGCAAGGTCTATCGAGTGTGCCAAGCCGGCCTAGCGCACATTCTGCCGTTCATGAATCAACGCACAGCGAAAGTGTCGACGAAGGATTTCCAGATGATGCTAGATCGACTAGGAGACTTGCTGGATTTCGATGAGTTTGAGCCTACCACTCGGGAGTATTTCGAGAATGCCCCGATCGGTAGTGTTGTGTGCATGCTCGACCGTCCGGGCCCGTCGAATGTTGAGTGCGTGCCGTACTTTGATCATCATAATGATGTGTATAGAGCTGACGATCACGTTTCTGTGACTTTTGTAGATCGAGGGTGATGAATTTGGTGGCTTGGCGAGGTCGTAACTCGGTAAATGTCATGGCCACCAAGGCCGATGTTGCCGCATTGCTAGGAACGATGAAGGAAATGAAGCTATACAGCTCGGCTGTGCTCGAAGCTGTGTTGGAAGCCAAAAAAGTCAGAGATGCGGAGCGTGCTGCTCGTAATGGGGAAAAGCAGGAGGCAAACGAAGCAATTACGACGACTGACGAGATGAACGTCGTACCAGTTGTTCAAGACAAGGACGACCAAGAGTTGTGTATGCCTGCTTAGCTCAGGGTGCCAGTAAGCTACAGGGTAGGCCATTGCGCTTAGAATACTTGTGCATACACTTTGACTTGGTCATCATTCTGTCCGGGAGCCACTTCCAACGATAGTATGCCGTACTTCTACGGATGATTTTCTATCAGGGCTCTTTCTAATGCATTCTAGTGCCGGGACGTAGAGTCCGTGGAAATGGACTGAAAGACGTGTCCTAGCCAGTTTCGAAGAAGAAAGAGCAACTGCAGTTTGGCTAGTCTTGGTGGCAAAGTACGACGGTCGGTGACTCGCCGATGGCAGCTGAAGCACACTGGTTGTCTGCGTACCTTTACGGGACTACTCCATGTGATCCATCTTTTGACATTCACAACTTCGACACGGATCCTAGAGAGGGTATGACTCTTGAACGAGCCCGTCGCCGTTGATAATGATATCGATGGTGTGTCTCGCTTTCATTCGCGTCATGTTACCATCTGTGTCTCTATCGCTGGGTGGAATATACTGGCAAGTTTAGAATAGTGCTGGATGTGTGTTTGCCTAATAGTTGACAATGAACGCAGAAGCAAGCACATGCAAACGTATACTCCTACCATGAGACGCTATCTGGTAGTGAGTACTGCCGATACCGATGGACCTGAGCTTGAATGAGCGAGACAGGAGTCACTCGTGATACGTCAAGGACCATTGATGAAATGTAGAGCTCTGGATGGAGTCTGCAGCATCACAAAGTCGAAAAGCCGCATCGAGGCGGGATTGCAATGCATTTCGAGTTTGTACGCAAGGTCTGACATCTCGACCACGTATCCTGCAAGCTGTCATCAAGTATATTGCGTAGGTGTGGTAACAGCAAAACTTGCAAAGAGATGGTCACAACAACGTAGACACATGCTGTGCCAGCGTTCCAGTCCCAACATTCTCCCCACCGCGAGTACGCGAGACGCGTCCAGTCATGGGGCGTGCGCATTCAACACCGAGTTCAGCTTGATCGTGGCTGCAAGTCATGAGTTTTCATGGTGTAGATTACCACACGCGTAAGCTGGTTGACAAGTCATCTTGTCGGAGGCGTTCATGACACAATGATCAAAGCAGTATTGCACTCGTGCCATTCATATATCGAGACTGCAGCTGAAGTCATTTGTGCACAACATCACCGCCCTCACTTCGACTAAAGGATCATGCGCTCTCTTCCCGACTCGAGAGCTAAGTCCCTTGTTGGACCATCCGGCCATCAGGCTTGTTGTATGTACTCTCGTGCATGCTTATCTTAGTGCTGCGTGCCACAAAATGAGTGCTTTGATGTTCTGCTGCGTGGTGGTCTGTCATTGCACCGTTTCATGAACGAGACGGTCTGGTAGCTCTGGCCTCGACCAATACTCTCGTTTATGGCTACAAGAAAGTATTCATTGTAGTATCACAGGGAAGAAGATACCGGAAAGACCCATCATACCATACTTGGTGTTTACCTGTAAGTTGTTCACCACGCAACACAACGACGGGCTGGATGCATAAGCATCTCAGGACGAGGCAGTTTTGTAAGGGCGGAGTGCCGGAACATAGGTCAGCCATACTTGACTGGACCAATTTTGGATACGCCACGTTACATGTACATCTTGATAAATGAACGTGTATGAAGCATGCAAGTACCTAATGTTGACAAACATGTAGATGCGCAAACAGTCGTCGTAGCAATTCACCGACATGCGTAAGATTGCAGAACTTACGCATGTCTGCTCTTGCTACATATCCTTTTGGCTGCAATTGTACGTTCGAGCTTACACATTCCTGTCGACTTTGTCGCATAGGTTATACGCTATCTTGGCCAGAAGCAAGTCAATTTGTGGTGAAGAGCAAACAAAAAGATGTTGCGTTTGCTTGTTCCATACGATGTCGTAGCAACTTTGGTCATCATGAAGTGACGGTGCAATGTAGCTAGCTCACCAACAAGGCCGTTGTTATTTTGACGAGCAATGCCATTTCCTGGTCATTGACATGTTGCATCCTACTAGATGTACATGAAGTATGATGGCGGGACACTTTCACGCTTACGACATTCGGTTCATGAGGTCAAGTTTGCTTTATCGCACCATTGTGATGTGCGACCGCCAACAAGTCGGCGTCGAGTCCGTCCGCAAGTATGTGGCCGAATCACAATGAGCTACGCAACGCTCGAGTCGATATCGACCCTCCCTTTTCGCCAAAATGAAGCGTACAGCTGCGTGTGCCTGCACAATGAGTTGTTGAGCGTCTTTGTCTTCATTTGGATATGTCCAAACCGAAAACGAAGACAGCCAACAAACAATCGCACTCGCTTATAACAATGCGACGTGACCGGCCGGTTGATAGCATACGACTTCTCGCTTGTGTCGAAACGCGGAAGTACTTGCTACGCTCTGACCAGATGTGCTGCCAAAGTATAGATGAGATTGTAGCACGAAGACCGATGAATATGCACTGTCACATTGAGAGCACGGGGCGTCGGCTCAGATGTCGCGAGAGTGTTGGCACAAAGTATACGACTTCGTGCCTTTCTCAATGACCCTATATCTTGTGGATTGCGACATTGTGCAGCTCGCTGATGATGCATACATGTTGTGCAAGCGGATGGGCGCTCGTAGCGGTAGGATTTTGTCTGTTGCTGCGGTAGCGGACGAAGAGATGGCTAGCTGAAGCCAAGAGTGAAAGGCTTTGGCTGTCATCCCGTATCGACGGGTCAAAGGTCGATGGCAAGCTACATCCAGTTTGCAAGTGTTGGATGAAAGAGCGGTCAAAATGTAGAGATTGGTATCACCATCTATCAGGCTAAGGAATCGTTAGGCTGAGATGAGCAGACATACATAGCTTTTTCTCATTTCGTGTAGAGCTGCTCTTGAGAAGAAAGACTGGGAATGGACTCAAATACTGGAATTGTGTGTAAATGTACACTTGCAGTCTTTCATATAGGCTTCCGGTTGATGCGCAAATTATTGCCATCGATAGGTATGTGTTGGGCTGGCGCACTACGCTTTTGTTCTTTGCCCCGTGCGATGCAAATTTTACGTGTAAAGTAATGCTACTTGAATCGATTAATTAACGAGCTTTTAGCGTGCTAATGCAATGTCAAACTGGTTAGCAATACACTACTGGATAAATACAAACATGCGATTTATACCAAAGACTTTAAAGGTGAAAACAAACAACAAGATAAATAAGGTTACTAGCTTGAAATGTTCTGCTGCCATGTGCCACATTTCACACTCGTTCATGACACGTTCAGTTTGGGTCACGTTTGCTTGAAGGAATGCGTTGACCATTGCACCAGATCGGTGGGCAGGCTTTGTTGACACGAACGCTTGGCAAGATCTGAACGTGACTTCGATACACTGCGGATGCCAAGCTTTGTACATAGTGTCAAGTACTACTACACGAGCACGATCCTTGTCGACTATGTAACGCTCTGGCTCCCAAAGTATTTCGAGAACTCTCACCACCACAACAGAGCTACAAATAAGCAGCAACAGAGCTCTCAAACAAGCCAACGCCGGCGGTCCATTCATCCTTTCGGGCCGTCGGAAACAACGCGAAGGGCGATGTAACTTTCGGAATAGCAGGGTTGTCGTGCATTTGAATATGGCATAAAGATGGAACAAGAGCGAAGCAAAAGAAAGTATACCGCACGCGGAACGCGAACACAACTGGAAGCCAGTGACTTACCACTCGTAACAAGGATTACGCTACCGACCATTACCGATCTGCTTGCAGGCAAAAGCAGACATGGCATATTGCGTTGCGTAGAGGACACTCCGAGGTCAAATTGAGTGTAGCTGACTTTCCATGTGCACCGACTCCGCCTAAAGCACCAAAACTTCGGGTGACCACATCCAGCATCCCAGGTGGCAGCCAGCTTCGATTAATAAACCAAAATGCCTCGAACTGCTTCGAGAACTCGACTAATTCTGCACGGCGCGCTTGTCCCGTATTCCTTGTAGCAGTATCGTTCGCCTGTTTACATGCGTGTCTATATTGTCGCGAGCTCAACGTCATCACATCCCGGAGAGCACCACAAAATGTCTCCATGTAATTCAGCATATCATTGCCGAGCAGCGATGTGACTTCTTCTGACGTTTCTTCCCGATGCTGCTTTTCTTGTCCTTGCATGTCCGGAGGTAGAGCAATAGCATACACTAGCGCCGTCAAAGCTCGATAGAATTCGCGGCACAACTCTTTCTCGCGTAGGCGGTGCATTAACGACTTGCACCCCTTGTTGTTCTCTTCAAACTTCAGTTGCACGGTTGTTGTTCGCCTGAACGTGTCGTCGAAAACTTTCCACTCGCGCTCGTTGGCCTCATCCCATTCCGATTCCAAGTCACAGCGACACTGCCGCATCGTTTCCGCCCACTCCTCAACAGCACTCTCGATCTCCCTCTTGTGCTTCACCACCGAGGTCTGATATCTCTCAATCTCACGCGAACATCTCGCACCCATCGTCTCCAGACGGGTCATAGTTGAGCTAATGGCAAGTGAACGGCCATCACGGGAACGCGCACGCTGCATCAATAGAGCTCCCAACTTGTCCATCAGTCGATACGCAACGTCCATCGGGCCAACTTCACGGACGTCGACAACCTCTTCCTTCATCAAACGCTCCTTCTTCTCCCTCACCTGGTACGGTACAGTCTGTGCCAAACTCAGCACCTCACACATCAATATCACCAACTTCTCACACAACCGGTACCGGCGGTCATAACCTCTCAGCAACATCAGCAGCTCTCCGAGCTTTTCGCACGCAACTTGCAGTGCACATCGCACGTCGTTTGTCAATAGCGAAATAATGCCCAAGTCTCGCAACAGCGTTGCAACAGCCTCGTTGTCCTTTCTCAGTGACGGGTTATTGGCGAGTCGAAGCAGTTGACGTTGCACCTCATTCCAAGCAATTAACGAAAATCCCGCGTCCGTTGTTTGGCCGTCGCTCGGTTCGTCGTCGCTCTCAGTGTCGCGTATAACAATTATCTCGGCGACAGCCGCTTTCATACTTTTCTTTCGCTCCGTCTGTTGTTTATTTTCTCTATTTTTCGAGCTCGATGAAGAAGCAGGGTCTCGATCAATCACAGGCCCGGTCACTCTCTCGCGGGAACCGAACCGTTCTCGGATGATGCACGCGGTCCGGGATATGAACCGTCGAGTCAGTGGGCCGCGTCTCGTCCCTCCTTCGCTTCGCCCCGTTCTGCCATTTAGGAAAAAACCTCCCGAGCCAGTCCCCAACGAAGAAGAAGAGGGAGAAAACCCCACGAAGCAGCAGCAGAGGCGGAGGTTCGTTGCCACCCCAAAAGACCACATAGTAAAAAGAAAGCAGTTAGCGCGGTCCTTTTTCCGTCGCGACCGCTGCGTGTCAGACCGCCCGTCCCGCCCCTTAGAAGGCGTGTGTTTCCTTTACCCGTTGACTCGTCGTCGCTTCGACCAGATAGTCACTGCTCTGTCGAGCCCTCTTCGGTCGTTTGTCTGTACGCATCGCCCCCCCCCCGCGCTACCCGCCCGTCCGTCCGTCCGTCGCTGCGTAGCGTCTTCACTCGCCTTTCGGCGGCGCACTGTCTCGTCTCATCTTGGGATCTGACCTTGACTGTCCCTCCACGCACTCTGTCACCCCCAACAGTCACATTGAACAAGGTAACGATTGTAGCTAAATGTGTGTATAATAGCCTAGACATCCTCGCAGAGGTCTGTGTGTACGTGTGCCCTACCATGGCGCTCATGCTACCGCGTGCACCCATTGCCGTCCCCTGGCTGTAAACACGCCGTCCGTAGCTGCCTCTGTCGTCCATACGGGACGTACAGTCGATACGGGCTGAGCTATCTGTACGAGCTGTGGAGGCATAGAAAGCTCGAACAGGAGGGCGATTGATCGAGTGGTCGATCGATCTACTGAGGTGGTGGGTACGATGGCAGACAGAGAGGCCGCCGCTGCGCCTCGCAGTCGTTGTGCGGTCGTATGAGGGGTACCAGTCTCTAGTGCAGCGGACCGCAGGGCTCCTAGTAGTGGTAAAGAGCTGGGACGATAGTAGCGAGCGAGAGGCTAGTGTCGATGCAATATGGCAGTCAGTGGAGCTTGATTTGCGTGACCAAGAGGACTCACTCGTGTTGCATGTGTGCCAACTTGTAGACAATGAACATCGACATGGAGCAGACGAGCTTCACCAGTATGCTGGAGAGCACGCAATTCGGCGGAGCGCTGCAAGTGCAGCAGCAGTCACTAATGCATCCACCGGCGTTCGGGCTCCAAGACATGATGTCAATGGGAGGAGTCCCACCGTTCATGAAGCAACAGCAGCTAGTACAGCCACAAGCTCAAGCTCTGGCCCCCGCTCCGGTGCAGCTCCCAGCAGATCAATCGGTGAGTCGAAGCTATGGTTGTCTTGTCACCTAACGTTGAGCTAACTGGTCCGTCGTGCGCTTGCTTCCACGTGCTCCCAGGTGCCGAACGTGCTCCAGAACATGATGAGCCACAGTACATGCTCCAGGTTGACCCCCTCGAGCGTCGAAGCGTCTTTGTTGTCCCTCGTGGACAGCGACCTCCGCGTGTCTTTGATTGCTAATCTTCCGGTCTTTCTGAAGGTCTTGCCCCGATGTAAGACGGAGCCCGAACAGACCCTGGCGCTTGTGATCCTCCGTGCTACTTCAACTGCAACTGATACCAAGCTATCTCGTGCCTGTGCTTGCGCTTTCGAAAAGACTGGAGGTTTGCGTCTTGCACGGACATGGGTCGACTCTGCTGTGACCTGGCAGCACAATGACTTGCTCGTCCTCCTCTTAGAAGTGCTGCAGACCCTACCATTGCAATTAAGTAGTATTACGGAAGCACGAATCAATGAGCCAATTGTCAAGCTACGCAAGACTGCTCGCGAAGACCGCGTGAAGCGCGCAGCTCAAGACCTGCTAAAGTTTTGGCGTGGCAAGTTTACAGAGAAAGAAAAGCCATCGGCGACGCTACCCGTGGCGAAGGAAAAGGGACAGGACGTCAAGCCACTTTCGCCCACGACATCTTTTGCAAAGCAGACGCCGTTGACAGCAGCAAAGTCTGGCGCTAGCAGTTCAGTGCCAGCGAAACAAGCAAAGGCCTTGAAAAAGCGTACGATCAAACGGCTAGAACGGCTGCCTTATGGTGGCGGCAGTGCAGTGTCCAAGTCGAGCGACTTGATTGGAAATCTCATGCAGCGCAAGTCAGCAAAGGAGGCTGCAGCTGCAGCCGAGGTGGAGAAAAAGGTGACGACCAGTAGCGATGATAGCAGTACCGCCAAAGCGGATGGCGCGAAGAAGGAGCAACCGAGGACATCGAGCAGTACGAGCGAGGTCACCACTAGCGTCGAGGACACGCTGTCGATGTCACTTCCGACGATCCAAAGCTTTAAGGCAGCTTCGTCCTGCAGCGACGCAGCAAAAGAGAGCAAGTGCATTCGCTGGGCAGACGAGAGCGGCGAAGAGCTTGTCAAGGTTAAGTTTATTGAGTCTTGGCGAGACCTTGTGCCCTACGATGCACGCCACGACGACCAGTCCTTCAAAGACGCCAAACTTCGGGAGCATGCGAACGAGCGGCAGGCGCTCCATTCGCACCACCTCAAGATCCCGCCTGCTGTAGCAGCCTCGCAGTTGCGCGAATGGACCACGCCGGCGTTCATGCGACTACCGGAAGCTGTGGCCGCACGCGTAGAGAGCAAGACCGTGACGGACGAGATGCACGTGCAAGACAGTCGCCGTCGCCATGTGGATGAGTACGAAGTGCTGATGGGTGAGATGCCCATTTCCAGTCCCAAGGAGTGGGAACGCGGCAACGAGCCTCCACGCGGACCGCCTTTGGAGATTCCGCTGAGCGACGTGGTCGAAAGTGAGCCTGTGAGCCAGCCTCTACCGGTGTCTGCTCCCACAATGGCCCCGCCATCCTCCTCGTCATATTCTAGCTTTTACCAAGAGGGGTATCCATCTGGAGGGTACAGTCAGGCCCCGCCAAGGCATGACCACCGTGGCGTAAACGATCGTAGTGAGTATAATGGCCAAGATCCCGAGGCGGACCGCAAGCTGCGTGAAGCATTGGGTCCGCTGCAGGCGAACACGATCTCACTGCTGCTGGACAACCCGGACGTGGTGCCGCAGGTCTACGAAGAGGCGCAGCGCAATGGCAACCGTATTCCAGATGCACGTGTGTTTGAAATTGTGGATCAGTGCCGTCGCGCACGCTACCAAGCGCCGCCGAGCAGCGGTGGCAGTGGTGGCGGTCCGCCACCTTCGTTCAGTCCTTACGGTAGCCAGCGGCAGCATTACGGCGACCTGGGCACGGGCTATGACCACCCGTACCAGCAACAATACCCGCCGCCGGGAGGGTCTTTCCTGCCTGGAAAGCGAAAAGCGACTGCCATGGGCGCGCCTCAGAACGGCGGGATGCTCGACGCGTCGTCACTCAAGCGGCCAGCAAAGAAGAACCGCGGCATGCTGTCGTGCAGGTATTTCGCCTCGCCCACGGGTTGCAAGCATGGCAGCAACTGCCACTATGCGCACGTTCAGTCGGCGCCTACTAATGGCCCTGAGTTTATTTATAATAACCGTGGCCCCGCGATGGGAGGCAGAGGTAGCGGTCTCATGGAGCAGCGATACGGCCGCGCTGGCATCCCGCTAGGAGCCCCCGGCCATCACGTGCGAGGAGGACGGTAACGTCGCGTCAAACACGGGAATGTAGTGACGCAGTATGAACCGTCACGTCATTTATTCATAATCTCGAGCCCCGGCAAACTCTTCAGTTCTTGTTGACTCGTTGTCTTTACTATGTGCTAAACTAATCAGCTCTGCCACCGCCGGTGCGATACGTTTTGACCCTCTATACTACGGGTCCGATAAAGACTGAAAATACTAACGTCAGCGTGATCAACTCATGGTTTCTGCCAAATGGAGCATTGTATTGTCTTTTGTCCTGATTGTTCTTCGAGCCCATCCACTGCCAAGACATTGAGCGTCAAGCGATGCATGGCACTGGGAACAACACGTATTGCAGAAAAGCAGTGTACCCCCACGACCGTTCACTTTCACACGGGAGTAGCGCCTGGCCGCTAGCGTCTTACCGCAGCTTACGCCTTGATCGACGAGACCTTGCGGCTGCTGCGACGCTTGGCGACCTCGCTGGCACGACGGTCTTTCTGCTCCTTCACGCGCTGCAGTGCCATAAGGCGAAAAAGGAGCAGGACAGACACACACACACACCAACAGTCAGTCTCCTGTCCGATGAAAACAGAGGGGGCGCACCCACAACGGTACAAAGAAGCAAACAGAAACGCACCTGAGCGTGGAGGCGGTTGTACTCCGCGGCCTCGCGCTGCACCTTCTCGCGCTGGTGCACCTTCTTGAGCGCAATCTGGCGCTTGTGGTGAAGCGTGCGCGGGGTCACCAGACGCTGGATCTTGGGCGCCTTGTCGTTCTGCTTGCCCGTCTTGGACTCAAACTTGCGACGGATCACGTACTTGCGCACGTCGTCTTCCTTGGTCAAGTTGAACAGCTTGCGGATGTTCGACGCACGCTTAGGACCGAGACGACGCGGGATCTGCACGTCAGTCAGACCCGGGACATCGGCCTCGCCGGCCTTGACGACCACAAGGTTCAGGACCGAAAGGTCCGGGCCGACAATGCAGCCACGCACGGACTTGCGCTTGCGCTCGCCCTTGCGACGCGGACGGTAGCACGACTTGCCCTTGGACAGCAGCAGACGAGCACGACCATTGGACAGCACACCCTGCTTCATGGGGAACCCCTGCTTGTCGTTACCGCCCGACACGCGAAAGATAAAGCCCTTGAACTCCTCGCCAAGCACAGCGCCTTCAATCTCTTGCGAGATACGCTTGTCATAGAACGCGCGGAGCTTGTGCTCGTCGTCGACTTCAAGCACCTTCTGGGCGCCCGTGAGAGGGTTTGCAATGTTGAGCTTCATCGTGAAGGAATCTGCAGCACCACAAGCATACGAAAATCGTCATTAGTCGCAGTACAGTCCCTCGCTGCCGACACGCGCGTCAACGACACGCCGTCGTACCTCACAAGACAATAAGAAAGACAATGGGAATCGCGCGGTCACCACTCACGCACAAGCTCGGGCGTTCACTACTGGCCAACCAACCAGCCGTGTGAAAATGCTGTCGGTGCTATGCTACACAGCACGACCACGAAAAACTTGCCGCATGTTGATAAATGTAAGCCATCGCGATCGTGCTCTTAAGTTCGGTCGTATATAAAACACTTTTTTCGCCACTGTAATCTGTCCATGGGCAACCAAGTGAGCTCCCCAGCAGGCGGTGCTGCTCCTGGCCATCAGGGCGGCTGTCCCGTGCAACATGACGCTACAGACGCGGCGTTCGATGCGCAGACGGAAAGGGGATGTCCCGTGCAGCACGACAAGACGTCGCCGATCGTCGAAGCCATGGCTAGTGGCTGCCCTGTTGAGCGAGAAAGGAAGAAGGACCAAGAGGTCTACAACGTGTACGGACAACGCATTGACCCGAGCAACATGATGCCGTACAGTCCCAATCAAGACCCTGTTGACGGCCAGCGGTACCCTCTGCCTCAAGGTCGTGTACAGTCTACAATTCCGAAGGGTGGAACAGAAGGCACGTGGCTCTACCCGTCCGAGCAAATGTTTTATAACGCACTCAAGCGCAAGGAAAAGGGAGACGATGTGCACGAAGGAGACATGCGGGCTATCGTGTCGATCCACAATAATATGAACGAGCGTGCCTGGGCTCAGGTGGAGCACTACGAGAAGGTGTGCCACCCAGACCTTGAAGGCTCGAAGCTGCTCAAGTTCTGCGGTCGTCCCGACAAGCTCACGCCTATCGCGTGGATCAAGAGCATGCTAGGATATGGGACGCCGTTTGATCGACATGACTGGACGGTGCTGCGTGGCGACAACACGCAGGTGCGATACGTGATTGATTACTACTTTGATGACGACAAATCAGCACTGGATGAAGTTCCTGAGCTGCACTCTGCGGACAAAGTCAAGAGTATCTCTATGTACGCGCGTCCTGCGGTGGACTCGGTGGGTGCGCTGATCGACCGAATCAAGTTTCCTGTTGCAGGCTTTTTGGACGGCCTCAAGGGCCCGGATCTCTCTGCTCGCTCTACACTAGTAGAGCGTACTCAAGAAGAAAAGCAAGCTCCAGGGGCGTTGTCAGTTGAAGAGGTCGAGCAGACATTTGCTAAGGTCAAGGACACGTGCAAAGGCTGTATGCAAGAGGTCAGGACGTGTAGCAGCGAAGTACAGTGCTCACGAGCGGCCATGGCTCTCCAACTCTGCATGGGCCGCATTATCTGTCCGTCGGAGGCAGCTGCTTTCACCAAGGCACTCGATGGTGGTGATGAGACAGCTGTCGAGGCAGCGTTCGACGCCATGACTCGTGGCCTGGAGCAGTTTCAGGAGCGCGGAGCGAGTGCTATGCACGAGCAAGCGGTCCGCGAGTCGCTTGCTCGGAAGTAGCGTAGGGTGAAGACTCGTGGGAGTTATGAGGTGCTGCGTAATAAAGCAGTCTAGATCTTTTCATGCAATCGAGTGTGGCGGTGATGGTCCTGTCTCGAGACATGTCAGCGTGGCAACTCATCCTCGTCGATATATACGATCACCCATTACTTGCTTGTCTCTGGGGCCAACGTACATGCCAAGCATGATCAACACAGTGCATGCCGTACATGATATGCGCTGTGTTGGTCACACGTGGGGTACAAAGTCACCTGCTTAGTCCAAGCGATTCCGTTCAGTCAGCTAATGTGCTTACGTGTACAAAATGTGCGTCGTACTGCATACACAACTTGCACCTTCGAGGGCGTGAGCATCCTGCGCTCCGTATCGACCAACAAAGTATCTTCTCCTCCTTTCGTACACGCGTTGAGAATGAATCCTCGTGCAGAAGATGGAGTACAATCCTCTGTATCGATTATGCTATGTGTAGTGCGCAGCATGTTTCTCTTCGGTCGTGAACGCGCACAAAGATAGTGGTACCATGCGCCATGGGAATGTTACACCCCCTATGTCCGTCTCGCTGTCCACCACATTGCAATGCAATTCTACGGACACGATATCCCGCCCCCATCGAGACGATGTAACGACACAGCAATAACGGGTAGCGCTCGTTTCCCTACCTGAGCATTGCCATCGTTCAGCCCCTTCTTGCGTCAATGAGGCACGAGGGTATGTCGAACAAATTGACAAGCGCAACGAGCTTCGTGTTGATCTGTTTGATCACATACAACAGATGACATCATCGTGTGTTGATGTCCGCACATCGTCGTGCTGCAAACATCTGCTGTAGGTGAACCTGTGGCGAAAAGTATAGGTGAGAAGCTACAGACGCTCCCACTCTCGGCCGTCGTCGCGTTTCTGTTCGTCAGAGGCCAACGTCATGGCACGTTGAACTTCGCCTTGCCAAAAATAGACGCATGACAATCACTCTGTAACACATAAGTCACACACCATTTGTAATCACGACACGAGCTGCCTCAACAAGCGCTGTCGACGGGCCAAGCGCGACGACAGATGCTGTCGTCTGCCAAGTCTCTCGACGATGGGGCAGCAGCACGACAGGCGCTACTACGCGACCCGAAGCGCATGACGTCTCTGCTGATGCGCGCGTTCTCGTCGTCAATGTTGCACGATTCCTTGAGCGGCGACGTCGCGAGACGCGCGAGTACAGAGCGCGAGGAAGAAGAGGAGGACGAGGACGACGAGGGAGAGGAGGACGAGGGAGAGGAGACGGACTTGGCACAAGGGAAGAAGCTGCGAGAGATGAAGGGACGGGTGGACGCCGATACGACTGCAGAGAGCGCGCGACTTCGCGTGGTGATTGACCGCGTCGCCAAGGACGTCGACAGCGATGATGAGGATGACGATGACGACGACGCAGAAGAAGAGGAAGAAGAAGAGGAAGAGGACGAAAACTTGGGCAAACCTTTGGACGAAGACGAGCTGGAGGTGGTGGCAACGACGTTGCAGGCTGCCACGCGCATGGTCGAAGACCTGCGGCTCAAGCGACTGCTGAAAGCAAGGCAGGAGATGGACCAACCGCAGCAGGATGAAGGTCGATGTATCGATCATTCTCTCTCGTTGTCAATGGGGAAGACGCTTCCACGCGTGTCACGGTCAAGAAGCAATTCTTCTACCGGGGGAGTACCAGGTCGGCCCGTGCCACGTGCTCGCGTGCGGTGCAACCCGGCTTGCAGCGGGTGCGGCAAATCCTTTTACCCGTTTCATCGCAGTAGAAACTGCACCGCATGTGGATTTGCGTTTTGCCCAAAGTGCTCGTCGAACTACGTGGTTTTGCCGTCTTGTTTCGAGCATCGTGATGAGTCCGTGCGCGTGTGTGATCTCTGCACACGCTGGTTCCAGACAGCAATGGACCACTACTTTGATGTGATGGACTTGGCTGACAGCCGTGATCAAGATGGTACAGTTGTTGATGCCAGTGGTGTAGACGAAGGTGGTTCCGAGGAAACATTGCGTGCAGCATCCAGCTGCAGCAGTGGCTCAGTGCTAGGATCAAGCTTCAGAGACGGAGCGTTTTCGCTGCTGACGCGTCCCCGATCGTCGATTTCTTCCCCGAAGGCCAGTATTCGTGATTCTAACGATGATGTTACGAATGAGAATCGCGAAAGCGACGAAATTGGGGCTGTCTCGAGTACTACGGCGTCGCTATCCAGGCAACGTCACCGGCAACCAACGACGACTTCTGCTCCCTCTTCATCGATGACCAAAACCAAGCCTTGGTTTAGCGGTCACTTACACGCGATTCACGTCAACGATCGATTGCCGAGAAAGAAGAAAGCAAGAGGTGAAAGTGAAGGCGATACTGAAAGCAACACATTCGATCGAAGATACGCACGAAAGGGCCGTACAAGTAGTAGCGGTTCGGCTCCTTCTAAGAGTCGATGTACGAACGAGGAAGTCGGCGACAGGTCCAGCGTACAGCACGATGAGGGTGCAAAGCGAGTATTGTCAATATCCGAGAGTGCTTCTAGATATTCGCCGATTTTGAACGTCTTGCCGGCACGAAACCCCGACAGTCTTGAAAGCAATGTTTTGGCACAGCCTGGAAGAAAAGCACGGAGATCCAAGTTTTTGCGGTCAGCAAGCTTTGATCTGGCCAACCTGCTTACAACTGTTTCTCCTAACGCATCGTCAAGCCCTTCAGAAGCGAAGCGCTGTCACACGTTTGGTCCGGGTGATGTTGGGGTCGTTGCTGCCGATGCTAGTAGCTCTAGTGCTAACAGTGCGCGGTCAAAAAAGGCGTTTGATGACAGCGACATAGTGGATGCGCGTGCCCAGCTTGACTCACCGGAAGTGAAGATGGAAAGCGAGGCGAAGCTTGCTGCAGCAGTATTGCGATTTGCAGTTTACGAAATGGGTGGAAAAGAAGGGACGGGATTACGCCGCACGTTTGGATTTTCGAAAGCAAACCCAGTGCTGGACCGATACACTTTGGAGCTAGATTGCCGCCAACGGGTTGTTCGAGTGAAGTCTGTGTTTATGCATCGCTTCTGGTCGTTTCATTGTGATGCTGTGCGGTCGTTCGTGTTTGGTTCGTCTGAAGGAATGGCCCGCCTCATCACGTCGAATACTGGTCAGGAAAACCAATCCCTTGAGCTAAAATTTGCAAATGATGAGGAAAGAGAGCAGTTCAAGCAAGCGATTGACAGCTGTCGATCCGCCAACCTCTATCGTATGCGTGGACTTGCCCCACGAGGCGCAATATCGATTCCTGTACGGACTGAAATCTCAACGTCCCGTATTCTGGACGACTTTCGCTCGCCGGTACCCGAAGAACCAAACACTTTGTTTATAAGAGACTCGCCAGTATCCGTTGGGTCCGAGTTGGCACCGATTCATGACACTGTTGGTAGCAACGTGATTTACCCTTCGACTCCGCAGTCGATATGTGTGCCACTGTTGCCAGGAGAAGTTGTATCGAAAGACACGGAGCTCCAGGCAACTTTGCTGATCGGCCCTGTAAGCGATACGTGTGAGCCCACCCTAGTTTGGGGACGTCTACGCGGTAAAGTAGCTGTGACGAATTACCGCGTGATTTTCTTACCGTTCGATCGTGTGCAGGTCCAGTCACGATGTGGAGGACAAGGCGACATCGCGTACATTCCGTTGTTTGCGATAACTCAAGTCCAGCTCCTTTGTCCCGGTGGCCGTCGAGCAAAATCTGGCCGCACGAATAACGCGGGAACGGCAAGCTCTGTACATATTATTGTAGTTAGTTGCAAAGACATCCGCGTGATGCGATTCCAATTGGACACTGTCTCCACCGGTTCAGATGACTATGCGATGAAATTGCATTCGACGATATCGAAGCTAGCGGATGCTTCTCAGCGATACTCGATCGTGGATCGGTGCAGCCCTACAAGCACGTCTTCTCTCTCGTCCCTTGCGCCGCCAAGTTCTACTGACGGTGCTGGCCAAGGACTAGAAAGAGATGCTGATGGTGAAGAAGCAATGCTGTATATGAGCAGAGAGTCCACCTTCCATTCAACTCCTGGTGGATCACGAAACCCAGCCTATGCTGCGTCACCGGTACTTCGTCCTGGTCGAGTTTCGACGCCTTCCCGAGAAGTCAGTGGCTCGTTTGCCTTTGCTTATTCCATTGCAGATATTCCTGTGGATCAGGATGGATGGAATGTATTTGTCGACGAGCGAGAGTTCAAACGACAGATTGGCGGAGATTCTGCCGTGTCGCCATTTCTGAAGGTACATCTTTTTCGACCTTTTGCATTGCGCATGGCCGAGTGCAAGCTGGCGAACTAACCAGGATTGATCTGTTGTGATTGTGTTGTTTGTTCCAGTACTACAAAAACGACAAGGGCAATATCTGCAAGTCGTATCCGTCGAAATTGCTCCTACCCGCTTCGATGAACTCGTTAACGTTGGCGAAGGTAGCTGATTTCCGTTCGAAGAACCGCCTGCCTGTGATCACATACTACCACCGACGAAACAGGTGTGTATTGACCCGCTCTAGCCAGCCCCTCCTGGGTAGCTTACTGTCTGGGACTTCGAACGTATCTGACCAGCTTCTTTTGGGAGTTTATCGTCGACTGCCGGATATTATCGAAAACCAATCGCAGTCATCAGTATCATCTCGACCGATCTATATATTCGATGCTCGAAAGCCGAAGGCCTCGACAGGGAATCGACTCATGGGCAAGGGAGGTGTAGAGACTTCTCAAGATTACCCTGGTGCTGTCATTCACCATCTCAACATTGCCAACATGTACCGGATGCAATCATCACTTATGGGACTGATGAAGCTATTCCTGCCTGGTGGCACTGGAGACACCGATCGTGCGTGGCTATCCAGTGTGGAGTCCACAAGGTGGCTGGATCACGTGCGGTTGGTTTTGGATGGCGCATTGAAGATCGCACGCGTGTTGGAACTGGAAGGAGCATCTGCGCTTGTGCATTGCAGCGACGGTTGGGATCGGACGCCGCAGTTGTGTGCCCTGGCGCAGTTGATGATTGATCCCTACTACCGAACCATTCGAGGAATCATGTGCCTAATTGAGAAAGACTGGTGCGCGTTTGGCCATAAATTCAGCGAAAGAACTGGAGGAGATCGCAATCGCGACCCACAGCGGAACAAATCCTCGCCCATCATGCTTCAGTTTATTGATGCTGTGTGGCAGATGCAACGTCAGTATCCTCGTTCATTCGAGTTCAACGAGCGCTTTTTGATGCACTTGGCGAATGCGATGACCTCTGGACTTTACGGGACATTTCTGTATGATTCGCGGCTTCAGCGAGATGTGAACGAAGTGAAACGTCACACAGTGTCAGTTTGGACGCCGGTGCTGATGAATCCATCCCTGTACGCAAATAGCAAGTACGAGATGTACGACGGACCTATCTGGCCCTGGGTCAGCTGCAAAACGATTCAGCTTTGGGAAAACTACTTTTTCCAGTGGCATCCCAAGTTTTACAGGTGCCGTTGGGCGTGCAGCTTGGTTCACCACGGCGCATCTGGATCGGCTTGCGACACAACAAGCAGCGTCGACACTCGTGGTGACAGGGAAGCGGTCGTTGTGGAGCACGATACCCCGCATCGTGAAACCCCAGTGGTCAGCGACCCGCCAGCACTAGATCTATTGTCAACGCCTACAAATTCCGCTGTGGCCGACGAAGACGGCGACCATGGTGGTTCCTCTTTCGAAGAAAGCGATGCAGACTGTCCAAAGAGAGCTCGAACTGCCAGCGAAGCGTACACGCAGAAGGCGTCAAAGCGAAATCTTTTTGGCCTCGGTCGATCAAGTCGTCAACGGGCTCAGAGCGAAGAGAATGGGAGTCAAGCAGTATGCTAGAGCATGTCCGTGTAGGAATCGGAGTGCCCGGTGCCGTGTAAGACTCCACAGGGTGACCGTGTGCTTCGCACATAGTGATGCATATGGTTGCTGGATTCGCTCTATTGCTGCATCCGTTCAATCCGGACAAGTAGCCACTAGCTGAAATGTACAGAGGGCGCGCCAAGTAAACGTGAAAATGGTAAGCTTCTATCGGTGTCGTATCCGAAACTACGAGTCAAGAGCTGGCAAAAGCCTCGATTTACGGCTCATCACAAAAGCATATGGATGCGACGATAAATTGGCGGAAAAAGCAGCGCATCGTTGACAGAGGGGTAGTGGAACTGCTTTGACCGACATATGCATCATTGATTGCAGGGAACGTCCGAGTTGCTATTTTGGAGCCTGTCAGTCGGCGATAAATGCCTGTTTTCTTTCGTTGCTGGCCGTCCACCAGCTCTGTCGATGGATGTGACGAAGTGGGCGTGGGCGAGCGAAGAGTACAGGTGCGTGGATCGCCATTGGCGAATGATGAGACAGGTGGATGGGTGAGTCAGCTGATCGATTATAGCCGGACCCACAACATGGTCAAAGCTGATCGATTCTAGCCGGACACGCCGCCTTGACACTTAGGTGGCGTGTCCGGCTAGAACCGATCAGCTGATACCATGTTGTGGGTTCGAGTGCCAGAGCCACGTACTTTGCTAACAGCCAGTGATGTTGATTAGGATAAGCTTGATTGCAAGTAGACGACAGCAGAACGTAGACGTAGCGAAGTTGGAGTCACTTTGTCAAGCTTTCTTTTGGTTTTGCAACCTCCCGAAGACTCTTTTTCTCTGTTATTGCACCAAACGCTCGCTTTTGGTCGACACAAAGCTAACGTATCACACAGGTTTCCCTCTGCTAACTTTTAGCCTCGACGGACTCATTTCGTATAAGATAGCAAAGGTTATTCGATACCGGATAATAGTGGCTTCATGCATATACTGCAGTAAAATCAACAATTAAAGCATAAAAAGTGGAAACTCTGCTGGGATCAGGTATTGTGTTGTGCAAATGCAATATAGGACAGGGTTATACTGTATGAGAATGTTTCAGTATGAAAAAGTGTGTCTTAATTGTGTAATATTGAGAGATTATACCGCGTGTACGCTTGTAGCTCATACGGTCTGGTGTCGCAGCATCGACCGGGATGTCACCGGTTCGGGATCCTGGTACGAGAAACAGATGAAGTTAACCTTTCAGGCCCTGGTGCATGGGGTTCACCAGCACTGCCTGCCAGCAGTGACGTACCATACTTTTGGGATAGTGACACCAATAAAGAGATAAGAAGGACATTGCAGCTCCATCCGTTGGTTGATAAAAATATAAGCAGAATAGTAGAAGCACTTACCATTGACAAAATTGATGCAAAGGTAAATTATCCACTCTTTAGTTTGCTGAATCGCCGTTTTGTATCTTGACCATTTTTAGTATGTTTCACAACATCCACTAGAACCATCCACCTTCACGCCCAACCAAACAAGCCCTAAAACCAGCGACAAAAGACCTCGAAAGTCCAGAGGCCAACAACACACGGCACCACCTTTCATTTTTAATCCTTAGTCAGGTCGTGCCTCAAGGCAATAGACACGAAGCCACCCTGGTCGCTTGCTGAGGCTACTGTCTTTGTGAGGATCAAGATGTAAATTGTGAATGCTGACCTTTAATCCCACTCACATAGGTGTCTCAGGCTTGCCTTACAGATGCTCGACCTCTGCAAGTTTGAAGAGACAAGGATTGTAATGGGTCAACCCATCATATAAAGTAGTTACAGGGTTTACTACATAATTAGCCAATAATGAATCGGTCTATATTTGACTGGTTCCCATGAGCTATAGAACATATTAGCACTTAGTGCAAATGATTCATAAAACATAAATAAACATTTATATTTACGAGTTAATATAGAGCACTTCCTCACGCCCTTTTGGTGTTAGACGGTAACAGGTCTCTCCCAACGTTACACCTGATAGCACGTTGTCGTCCTTTCAATGATCAATTTCTAGATGAACATGAACGAATCCTCAATGGTTCCAGCAGTTTCGCTGCAGCATTCTGACTTCCCCATCTTACTACTGCGAAATGGCAGGCATTACACCGCCTTGCGGCGGTGTCTGGTGAAATCTTCCTAACGTCGCTGCTGAGCACAGTGACGACCGAGCAACACTGTGCCACCATACAAGACTGCATGACGCGCGAGCTCGCCGAGGCAAATCGGCGAGTATTGACTGCCTCGCGCACCTCCCACTACGACGCAATTAAGATAGACATCTACGTATTCCAATGATGGTTCGAACCGTCTCCCCCTTAATCGCTGGTTTAGGGAGATCGATATTGCGATAGCGTCGAGGTTGATTGACGCTCCGAAGGTCAAAGTCAACTTCCTGTTGTTTTTGTAGAAAAAGCCAAATAATGATCCCTTGGGAAGCTTGTCGTAGAAGAGTCGGCGTTCCTCACGTTGGAAGATGTCCAGCGCGATTTGCGACTGGCCTTCGATCCTCTACAAAGTGAGTCACGCCTGCGTGTAGAATTCTTTTCACTTCGGCACGGCAAGTTGTCGGTGCGTGACTACGTGCAGAAAACACGGCATCTTGCTTCCTGCATCATCACGCAGACAATAGACATGGCTTCACAAGTCCATGTCTTTGTCTTCGGCATGCAAGACGGCATGACGCGATGTTGCATCACACGTGCTGAGCCGAAGACTCTCAATGAGGCATTTGCCCTTGTTCTTCGTGAAGATTACACGGTCGCGTCATCTACTTACACGCAGCGTCGCATCTTCCGCGTAAGTCTGGTCCAGAACCTACGAAAACTGATGCAATTGATGCACCGAGTGGTCGCGGCAAGCAAAATAGCCGCGAATTTCGTTGTCAAAACACGATAAAGTGTTTCCGGTGCGGCAAGACAGGCCATCGTGCGGCCGTCTATCGAGCACCGGCGCCTGTGGCCATGAACACAGCTGTCTCACGTGGAGATGCTGTATCTTCGGTGGTCCCGCCCAAAAACGAGCGGTTCCATTAGGCGCGGGATCCCTATTGGCAGCAATTGAGTCCCTAGTACTTATGTAGCAGCTCGGGATACTAGCCCTAAAGTGATACATACTAATTTCAATGCCACCACTATGCGCGACGATTCGAGACTGATTATTATCAGTCTCATCGTTGCTGGAGTGAAACAAACACTCCGAGCGTTGTTGGATCCGGGTGTATCCTGTAACTTCTTTCAAGCATCAAGTTTGTCCCTTCTCCCGTCTACGATTGCGGTTCGAGAAGGTTCCGGTGAAATCGTTGCCAAACTTGATGATGGACAACCACAGCGTGTCCCGCGTAAAACAGTGATTTTGCCTTACACGTTCGACGGTTTTCATAGCAATAATGAATTTCTGTTGTACGAGATGAACTATGCATTTGATTCGATTATGAGGATACCGTGGCTTTCACGGTATCTGCCGACGATTAATTGTCTCTTTCGGTACGTCAAACGACGAACCGGATATGACTTAAGTGAAGTGTTCACCATTTGTTGGTTGCGTCATCCGATTCGCCTCACGTCAGGGTCGTTAACGAACTCTCTAGGAATAGAAGTCAGCACCGAGAGAGCGATGGCCTTCTGTGCTCGTTATGTTCAGTAACACTGACAGAGCCACAAAACGAGGCGGTCGAATAGGGGTTCCTGTAACGGGGCACACCCTTGCGTGAACTTAACGCAAGGGTTTGGTGCGCCCGACAGACGTACACGAGGCAAACGAGGAAGCGTAGATAAGGGAAAAGCAGAACTGTTATATTAATATAATTAAGTCTTTAACCACTGTCTCTCTGTTTGACTTAACTTAATTATACTGATCTAACTGAATGTATGACGACGTCTACTCACCACTCATTGCGCGCGTCTTGCGGCGATTGGTGGGTTAATATCGTCAAGATATCAACCAATGAGCAGACTCTTTGGTCGACCCATCAATATCACCACCATTGGTGATATTGTTAAAATATTATTCAACTTCATATTCTTCATTGTCATTATCTCTCAAATGACATTTTCCATGTAACGGGCTGCCCCGTTACATCACCCCCCCTAACTGATAGTCACCGTTTGACTATCGAAAACATGGCGGCCACCCGTTGGCCACCATAGGGACAGGGAGCACTTGTTGGGTCCGTTCCATTCACTTTCTACCCGACCTCGCATAGTTAACATGTCTATGCGGGGTGACTCAAGACACGCACAGCCCGCTGCTGTGCCAGCCTCTGCGGCAGATAATTCGTCGTCTGCTGCTCGTTCTCCGCCTGCAGCAACAGGTGCTGCAGGTGCACGCGGTATCACACCGCGTGCGCATGATGACCCCGACATTAAGATCATCTTTTCTGGCGAGTCAGACGTGTCTAACTCGAGCAATGTTCCAGAGGCGTCTCGATCACTGGCGACGCCTCGGTATTCGCTAAGGCCACTGACGAACGAAGGGACTCGTGAGTTGCAACACAGTCCGTTCGGCAGTGATGATGAAGGTGATCACAGTGGTGAGGAGTATTATTCCTTACCACCGCCGGCTCGTGCTTCTTCGCACGAGCGACTTGACGATGGTGCAGCCATCGTCATAATGACAACCGTGGTACCGACAAGGGTACCACTGTGAAGCCTGATGATCTGAAACCGTGGAGTTTGCCTGAACGGCTCATCAATAGATTGTCTCACGAGACAAGCCAACACCATCGAATACCCTTATTCGATGCGACTGAGCTTCACTGCTTGGATCCCAGCGCGAGTAACTTTCGCGCTGAGGAAGAATTTTATCTCGATGTCTTCCTTAGACATCGATGGTACAACGGCAACCAAAAGCGTGACAAAAACTTGCTTTTGGCTGCGTGGAACGCGTTCGTCCAAAACGCAAAGAATTTTGGACGAGAAGGGTGGCTTAAGAAACTTGAGACGACACGCCTCAAGTTTGAAAAGCAAACACCAACCGGTGCCAGGTACCT